GGTACTCATCGTACCAAGTTCCAATCCAGTCCTGGTATCGACGGTTTACCTTACCCCATTCTCAACATTATCTTCAACCACCAGAAGGCCGCCCAACTTGCTGTTAAGGTGTTTAATGATGCCCTCAACCTGGGTATCTTCCCTTCCAGCTGGTTGCAAACTTGCATTTGTTTACTACCCAAGTCTGGCGACCTCTCCAACCTCAAGAATTGGCGTCCTCTTTCTTTGATTTGCTGTGATGCCAAGATCTTCACACGATTGCTTAATCAACGCCTTATGCCCTTCATGAACAAGATCATATGCCCCCAACAATCTGGATTCATGCCTGGTCGTTTTATCGGTGATAATGGTATGATTCTCAACAACACTCGTCTCATTGCTGCTGAAACTTCATCGGACAGTATTGCGCTGCTCTTGGATCAAGAGAAAGCGTATGATCGCATCCACCCTGACTACCTTCGGGCGGTGATGCAACGATTTAACCTTCCTACTAACATTATCCATTCATTAATAACCCTTCTCTTCTCTACGCAAATTCACATCAACATTAACGGCCACATATCCACCTCGTCCATCACCCAACAACGTGGTATCCGCCAAGGGGATCCCATCTCACCCCTCCTTTTCAACATTGCTTTTGATCCTTTCCTTCGTTCCATTCAACAAGATCCTCAGTTTACTGGTTTCAACCTGCATACTGAAGCTCCACCTCCTACTAATCAAACTACATCTGACGATATTTCAGTTCCTATGCAACAGTTGTTTCCGGACAATGACGGCCTTGCTGTCAGTCCTGATACTCCTGCTCCTCCAGATTCTCCCTCCTCTGCACCTCTGGCGGTAAAAATCCTGGCATATGCGGATGATACATTGGTATATCTCCATGATACGCAGGACTTTCATCGCTTGCAGACCGCCATCACCATGTATATGAAAGCTTCTAACGCATTATTGAACTATCACAAGACAGTAGCTACATCTCTCTCAGGCAATCCTTCAGCAACTTGGCAAGCCTTACTCGCAACCTATGGCATAAACGCCTGGCATGATCGAACATCCGCCACTCCCCTCATTTATCTCGGTTATCCCATCTGTTCCAGCATTACTCAACGCAATGTTGCCTTTCAAAAACTATATGATTCCATCCGAAATGCCATTGCTCTTCACTCACAACGCAACATCTCCATCCGTGGCCGTGCTACCATTCTCAATTCACTCATTTACTCCAAATTATGGCATGTTTTACGACTAACGACATTTACCAGGGCCCAGTTGCTCTCTTTACGAAGCCTGGGCACCTCCTTTATTAATTTTCGCATTTTCCCTAGACTCTCTTTTGCTACTCTCTCTTTACCTCGGTCAGCCGGCGGTTTGGGGCTCCTAGATCCTCTTTCTCAACAACAGGCTCTACAATGGTACTGGGTTTGCCCACTATTACTTCAATATCTTGTTTCTCCGGCCTTCCCCAAGTACACCACTCCTTCGCTCTCTGTTTTAACTTATACTCTTTCCTGGTGCTACTACTCCACCGTCTTCCCTCATTTCTTCTACTATCTCTTGTTTCCTTATGCTCGCCATCGGTCGTGGTTTCCTCAAAGCCCATCCCGTCGACACAGCTATCTCAATCCAATTACTAATCTTCAGTCCTGTTTGTCACTTTTCCAGATAACAGAGCGTCATAACTTATATGTTGATGCTGTTACTTGCTACTCACTTCCTCTCTATGATATTCTTTTACATTCACCACCTACTACTAATACTCTCTATTCATCTAGCTTTATACCACCGAATCTTCTCTTAGACGGCTCCAACGTTGCAAAGAAGCTTCTTGTAAGCGACATTTTCCGGTTAGATGCTGATCATCAGGTGCTTCGTGTTCGTTCTTCCTTCCAATTTGCTAGCCATCCTATTGTCTCCCAACGTGTTGCTGATTTCATCAATTCTCGTCAACTGATATTCCAACCTTTCTTTGCACAACAATGCTTCATTGCTCCCCGTCCAGCCCTAGACCCTCATCAACCTCCCTCTCTGCGGGCGTTTTGCCGTAGCATTTTCGTCCCTCCTTCTTCCTCGCCTTCGCGTAGTCGGTTGCCACTCAACAGCATCCGCTTTTTTAAAAAACTACGCAAAAACCTACCCTCTTCCTCCTCCTCTCTTTCTCCTCTCCAACCTCCTCAATGGCGCTCATTCTGGACACTCGCAATTCCCCTTGCTGCTCGCACGGTCTGGTATCGGGCTATATATGAAAAAATCCCCACCAGAGCCCTCCTACATCTACGCATTCCTGACAATCACCCTTCTCACCGCTGTATAATCTGCCCTGCCTCTCCCACGGAGGATATCACACATGCTCTGTTCTCCTGTCCTCCCAAGTTGCTGGTCTGGCGATACATGTATCACACCTATCTTTCTGCTTCTCCATCAATCTCTGATGTTAATCTGATTCATTTCTTACAACAAACTTTACTCTGTTCTTCCCCTCTTCTTGATCGTGATCCCTCTCTCTCGTTCAATGAACTCTCTATTCCTCAACTTTTCGCAACTACTCTTTTGACAATTTGGCAAGCGCATTGGCGCTGGATCTTCGACCGAACCCCGTTCATCGCTGACACCGTTCAACTTCGCCTTGCTCGCTCTCTTGCTCGTTTGGATGCCGAGTTAAATCTTGATTCGTAAGTATTCAGTTTTACCTTTTCGTTCATTCTTCTGTCACCTTTTTTTTTTTTCCAACCCATTTTCCATCCGATCCTTTGTCTCTATATCCAGTCTTTTCTATCCCTCAGCACGACATTTAAAGGACTTTAAATAAAACCTGGAGCTCGTCTCCCCTACAAAAAAAAAAAAAATGCTTCCTATTGCACTTTAATAGTACTTTTCAAGGCGCATCCAATGGTGCCAAGTAAGATAGATGTTTTGACTGAACTTACTGAGCAAAACCAAAAATATGAAATGAGGTTTTTAGCCAAAATGTCGAGATTTTGCATATGAAGACTTCTCTAACAAAGTTTCAGGGGTTGCTCTGGATTGAGAGGAACATTTTGAGTCAATGTATGCCATAGTAAAAGTCTTGATTTTGGATGTCAAAAACGCGATCGTTTGATTTTCGATAAAAATCATAAGGTATCACTCATGGATTTTGGTCGATTCTTGACGATCCCTAAAAATTGTGCAAAGGTATCAGGAAGCAAATACTAATTGACAGCGATTGTTTGGTGCTATTCCGGCGGTCTAAAACAGCTTTTAACACGAGAGATTACGGCTCAAATATATCCAGATCTGGCTATGATTTACATGGATTTGAGTAGTAAGAGATAGTGCAGGTACACTGTCTATCCGCATATAAGTTGTTTCAATTGATACTGATGTGGAGCATCCTCAAGAAGTCAAATTTGCAGCTGCCGGTCGTTTACGGAAGCCTTTAAGCTGATAATGGTCGAAAAACATACATTTTAGTAGAGCCTTGATGCCCATGCCTAAAACTGCTTCTCATAGTGTCAAGAGCTATCTGATTCTTTGTTAACAACGCATCATACGAACAGAAACACGGGATGATACGCCTGTAATTGATGTACGCACTAACATTTGGTTGATTTGAAATCCAAGGATACAATTACTGTTGTCAAGATGAAGTACCACCAGCAGTTAATCGCAGTTCGTAAGCTTGTGATCCGCAATCCGAGAATCAGTGTCTATTCTTATGTCTATTGAAAATTCTTGCTATGACAAGAAAATCAAATATAACATTTGAAACGAAATGAATATCCCTACTGATGCATCTTTGTTGTCCTGTTTATTAGTTTGATACAAACAACTATAAGCCATATGCGCCAAATTTGCATGACACTCTTTACTCGTCATACTTTGTCTAACAACAAGGATAGGGCTGAATGAATGTCTGACAAGGACATGTTATTAAAAAAGAACACACTCTCGTCATTATCAGCTGTTCAATCAAGGGTGCTTAACATCACAGCTAGATAGCTACGACATGATATATATATTTATACACATCGAATAAATGACGACAGATACTTCCATCGAGGCATTTCTTTTTCTGGGCAGTTTGAGTGAATTAGGCTGCTTTCATCCTAAAACAAGATGACACCACACTTTTCTGGCTTCATGTGCCATATCAAGCATTATCAGAGATTGGAGTTTCATTTGTAATTTACCCCTACAATTCATGCTGTAGGTGTTGTACAATGCCATCATTGGTCAGCATTGCACTGCAATCACTTCATCAAATGATATTTGTAGGTAACATGCTTGACATTGTATCAATTCGAGATTCTCCATTATATTTATATTTTGAAACCTCAATGTCCTCGTTTATCAAAATGACAAAGAAAGGGTGAGTTTGTAGCGGGCATGAAGATCCTCCTTTCAAGCCTTCGGTAGAGAAATTTCTACAGTTAGTACAAAAAATCGTCAGTTTTTTTTTTTTTTTTTTTTTTTTTTTTCATCAAGGAACGAAACATGTAGCCCTGGTTTTATGTTGAGAAACACATCAAATCAATATGTGTGTGTGGAATGTTCGCGGTAGTTCCATAAAGCAAAAAGTGATATGGAATGAAGCAAGCATTGGCAGAAGGGATTTCATCATGATTTAGGTTTTGGACGATCAACTCAAACTCTCTTGTATACCTGGGGTAAAGACGCAAAAACAGAAGAAATAGATGGCAGATTGGAATTATCCATTTGAGTGCTAAACGCCGGCTAAATTGTCTAGCATAGACCAAGGATTCGGAATGCCATCCGTGCATTGTGTGCCGTGTGCTATATCTCATCATGGTTCATTTCAGCGGTTAACGGGAATGTTTTTATTTATTGAAGTGGCATTTCGTAGAGAGAATAGTAAAAAAAAAGAAAAAGTGCATAAATTTAGAAAGAAGAGAAAAAGATATAATAAACAGATTAGAAAAAATAGAGCGAGAGAGTGCGACAGAGAAAATCTATGTAAAAGTGTAATGATGGAGGTTGTTGGAGTATTAATAGTTGGTTTACTTGAGCATGAGTGGCTCCATTCCGAGTTCCGGTCCAGTTTGCGTATCGTCGTACATGGAGGAAGATGGTGGGAGTGTCATTCCGTTTCGAAACATTGGAACAACGTCTTCACAGGAGGAAAGAGATGTATGGGTATTTGTCAATGGTTGTTGTTGCTGCTGTTGTGGTCTCTGGTAGTAGTAATTGCCGCCATAAAAGCTGCTGGGCTGTTGTGTTTGCTCTTGTTGCATGTCACTGTTGCTGCTGGAGGGTAGTCTGGATTCATCGAATGATGGGGGTCTGCTGTTGTTGGAGGAATTTGCAGATGTGGGAGCATTGCTGTTTGAATAGCCAGGATAATTCGTTGGTGGTGCGTTGGAGATGCCCATGGATTGAAAGAAGTGCGTATTGCTGTCCATAGACTCTGATTTGACATTGCCATTGGTATGCAAAGGGTGGACAGGATTGAGTAGTTGACCAATATGAGGACTAGAAGAGAATCCTGGCTGTGATGCCGTGTCACCTAAATTCATGCCATTGCTATCCTTTAAACGTTGATCATAGATATTGACTTCAGGAATCATGTGTGGATGAACAGAGCTAGATGGTCGGCTACTGATATCTGCTGTAGTCGTCAAATGGGAAGACATCATGTCAAAGCTGTTACGGCCGGCGTTGTATCGAGGCATCGATCCAGATGAGCTAGAGGACATGGAGTAATGTCTTGGCTGTTGTTGTTGTTGTTGTTGCGATGAGAATGATTGTCTAACTGGAGACAACATGGGTGTATTGGGGGATGAAGTCATACTAGATGGTGATGGTAAAGGTGGGAATCCAGTGTTGTTGTTGCTGCTACTACTGTACATGGAAGACATGGGTTGTTGTGTGCCATAGTAAGCAGACAAGTTGTTATTGTTGGTAGGTGTGGCAGATGTCAACTTGTTGTCACTGCTGTCCATGTCCATGCGCTGTGAAAGAGATGAGGCAGAATACATCATTTGTTGAGAGCTGTTGCTCATATCAGGTCTGCCTGCTGCTGACAAACTGCCGTGTGTTTGATAATTGTTTGCTGTGCGAAGGGATCCCATTGACATGCTTCGGAATGGATGGATACGTCTATCATCTAAGGTTTTAGGGATCTATGTGTTAGTATTGTATATATCAACAATCATCTCAACCCTTGCTATTTACTTGTATACGGATTAGCCATGGTATCGACTGGAGATAAAGGATTTCCAATGCTGTTATTCATGCCGCCAGCCAAACTAGCATCTGTCTGATCAAAAGCAGGTTCCACCATGGGAGGTATTCTGAAGTTTTGTTTGACAAGCAAATCTGGAGAGATCTCCAAACTAGCCAATTCAGGAACTGAGGATGGAGTACGCAATTTGTTTGCAATAATGTCATTTGGGAGATAGTACGAGATCAAATGCTGAGCCACGCCGTGGACAATGATAGACATGGTCTTCTTGATGAGACCATCCTTGCGAAAGCGATAGGAATCAGAGAGACTGCCGACCAGCCGGCGCTCACGATTACGGTCAGTCGACATACCAGATGAGACTCCCATAACACTTTGATCTGCACTATAACTACGCTGTCTTGCATCATTGGATGAGGCACTGCTAATTGATAGCTTCTTGTCGCCTGGTACTCTTTTATCCAGCTCACGGTAGATTAGGAAATTTCCAAGGATGCGAGAAGGGCTCCATACAAGGCCATCTGTCCATCGTTTGATGCCTGACAAACTAGTGTTAGTAATAAAGTCGAATAAGGCCATCCTCCTCCTCCTCTGGTATATATTGTAGTCCAGATGTTTCGCATTTATGTGGCCGCATATATACACACACTAAAAACACATTCTCTCTCCCCCCGCTCTTGGATTATTTCATAGTAAAATAATCATGTACAAGATAAACAAACAGAAAATGTATATTTTACCTGATTCACTCTCATCAAACACAAAGACAGAGCCAGATCTAATCATGCGTCTTTCTTTTTCTTGTAGTCTCCTAGAAACTCTTGGTATCAAACCTCTTCTGCATCCCTCAAAGATGAGCAATGCATCCTGAGTCGTTTCGATGTAGCCAAAAAATGTCTCTGCCATAATTTGATGTGTCGTACTTGTGTGTTGAATTTGCCGTATAGAAAAGTAATCAAGGAAATTGAGAAAAACACACTAAAAAGAAGAACAAAAAAAGCAAAAAAGAAAAAAAAAAAAAAAAAGAGAGAGAGAGAGAGAGAGAGAGAGAAGAAACGAAAGCTATTGATAGAAATACTAGGAATATATAGAAAGTGGTTGTACACACATAGAATTGTCGGGTGTAAATTATTTCCCGCCATTTTTCTAACATTGTTCGCACCCAAACTCACTCACACCACACGACACAGAATGCAAGTGTGCTTTTTGTCATTTAGATCCACTTTTTAATGGATAAGGCCTTCTTTTTCGTACATTTGAATGTTCGCTGGCAGGGGTTGGGTAGCGGGAAATTGGGCAAAAGAAGCACTGGGTTTCAATCAAATGACAAAACAAAACTGGTGTGTTCATATATCTCGAAGGATTGGATGATTAAAACATGACATTCTGCTTTCGTTTGTATGAATGTTTGCTATCTGTGTCCAAATGCATGCACAGTGAACACAAGGTTCATCAGATTTAGAGTTTTTTTTTCGTCTTGTTATTTTTTCGGTGCCCCACATTGGCGATATAAAAACTGTCAATTTCAGTAGATTTATCAATCAGTCCCAACATGTCATTTGTACTACTCATCGAGGAATAAATACACACAAACAATCCGCTTCTTTCTTATTCGATGGAATTGTGGCACAGGCCAAGTATAGTAAATGCGATTCATTTGTGATATCAATGTTCCAAATGGGCATGGTTTATGCAGAATGTTCATCATGGATTTCATGGACGATATGGCTCATCATTGCCAAATGTAAGTATATCTTTTCGCTACTACATGGCAGTCATGCCTCTAAGACCTGCGCCTTTAAAGGTCTGTCGCATTATTTGTTCGGTTTTTCGGTGCTAATCTCTTTACGTAATTCTAAATCACGGTGGGATCTTGTATTCATATCGACATCAAACACAGGTACACCTTATCATAGTATTGATTGAGCAGATTAACACAAACGAAAGTGGGGAAGAGCTAGCCACACCAGAAATTAACGGTTTAGAAATTGGAATATTTCAAGAAATGTGGGAGCACAGGTCAGGCAAATGTAAAGAGAATCTCTGGTTTTGCCGAGCACAAGCATTACCCATCGCTTGTCAATTGTCCTCCACCTGAAGATGTCTGGCTCTCCTGATAAATATTTCCTTTCTACTGAGTCATGAAACCCCACAGATACCATGCTGCATAAAGCTGAACTGTAAATCACATCATGCCACTACATATGATACACCATCTTGGTTATGTCCAATCAAATAAGAAATATATTATCCATATTGCAAATGTTATACATCACAACATGATAAAATTTTTATCCCTGAAAACAGTTGATTTTACAAGTATTCTAGTGTGCTGGCATTATTAGATGCAAGACTTCAAATGAAATAGCATGTCTAAAGATAGCACTATGCAGTTTGCAATCTACTTCCCATTGGCTTCAAGAGCATCTGTTATTGCCTTTATAATTAGAAGGGCATTGAGTTTGACAGCCTGCCCCGCCGACCAAAATCGATTCAAACCCAGAATCATAGTCTGTTCTAGATTGGCCAAATTTTGATGGTTTTCGACTCGATTGAACTATTTTAGCAGACTCGACTATATAAAATATGATGATCACCTCATACCTCCTTAAGCTGTCCCTGGTGGTAGGGCGAAGTGGTAGAACTCCCGTATGCCAACGGGAGGATCCCGGTTCAAATCCTGGTGAACGCAAGTTGTTTTGATTTTTTGACGTAGTACTGATGTCCTCGTTTGGTGTTTTGTACTCTATCCATTATCTATATTTTGACGATTTCCGCAAGACTGTATTGGCTCTAGGTGTCGCACCTTAGTAGTAGTAGATTTCTTTCCCAACTTAATTCAAAAAATATCTTATTCCCCTTCTTTGCAGACATTGGGTCCACCAACAGTCTTTTCTATCCCTCAGTATGACATTTAAAGGACTTTAAATAAAACCTGGAGCTCGACTCCCCTACAAAAAAAAAAAAAAAAAAAAATACCTCCTTAAGCTTCTTTGGAGTGCTTTTCAAGGCGCATCCAATGGTACCAGGTAATATAGATGTTCTCCATAAACTTATTGAGCAATTTATGAAAATATGAAATGAGGTTTTTGGCCAAAATGTCGAGATTTTGCATATGAAAGTCTCAAAAATAAAGTTTCAGGAGTTGCTTTGGATCGAGAGAAGCATTTTGAATTAGTAGATGCCATAGTACAAGTCTTGATTTTCAAGATGAAAAACGCGGTCGTTTGATTTTCGATAAAAATCATGAGGCAATCACTCATGGATTTTGGTCGATTTTTGACGATCCCAAAAAATTGTGCAAAGGTATCAGAAAGCAAGTACTAATTGGCAGCAATCGTTTGGTGCTATTCCGGCGGTCTAGAACGGCTTCTAACGCGAGAAATGGCGGCTTAAATGTACTCATTTTTTGCTGTACTAGGCCCATTATTGACTGAAAGGGCTAATATCAATATGCTACTTGCCGGCATATGAAGTTTTTACGTGTATTCGGATGTGCAACATCACATAATAGTCAGATCCACAGATAATAGGAAGGGTTCTCATGTGTAAATAGAGGGTTAGAATAAAAGCAGCAACCTTTTGATATGATGAGCAAGGGCAATCGGTAGCGTGAGCTGCCGCTTGTTCTCACTGAAGCGTAGACATTCTCGTGTACAATAAAAACCAATCGATGTTTAAACAGAAGGTACAACAGCACATCATAAGCAATGTATGCCTACATTGGTACCTGACACAGATTCACAAGCACTGAAATTGTCGAAGCCGCCTCTTACCAATGAGAACGATCTAGCGGCCCAGTCCAGCTGTGAATTCTCCTTCTAGCTCTATCTCTCAAGTTTTATGCGATACAGCAAACTGTTTTGAGTAGCCTTGTAATGTATAAATGGTAGCGACAGATGATACACCACTTCAGTGGCGCCTTATTCCCTTTATCAATATGCTCTTCCTTGGAAGAAGCATAGATAAGAAAAATGTTGCTAGATGTGAGATGGACCCCTGGAACAAGGGCTAAGAACCCAAGTCAGAAATGAAGAAGATACAGAGTACCAAGAAGACCTTGCAAGACGTTCATAGCTATCCAAAACTGAATATAGGACCCAAGAATGTGCTAAATAAGAAGAAGCGTTTTTGTATATATATAACGCGTTATCAGTTGCTGTTGTAGATTTGGACGTAATTCACCATGGATGACAGCCATATAGGCACGATTGACGAAATATAGAGTTGTAGGGCGCTCGCTCTCTGGATTTTATAATTTGAAGCGGTTCATCTGCTTTTCCCGATGATAAATATCTGTATATACGCCATTGGTGGCGTTTGTGCCTGATTTAAAACGCTTTTTCAATAGATCCCAGTGAGGCAACATTGGCCCGACTTGCGAGCCAACATGGAAGGATGTCTCCATACCATCTGATCCAGCATGAAAGAGCTTAGGTAATGCTTCGATTACTTTATATGCAGCTAGCTTGCTATATTCTCTAGCCTGTGCAAAAATGCCCTTTGAGCCAAATGCCATCAGTTATGTGATTGCTTTATTGGAACTGCATAGATTACTAGACATCCCCTGATGTCCAAGCAATGACACTAATTCAAAAGATACTGCCTAATGACCATATCCAAGTTTAGAGTATCGAACAATCTGAGGTTGTCGCTTGGCGTACCGTCATAATGGGATTGACAACGACTATTGCGTCATCGAGCATGCTCATGTACGATAGACATTTGACATGCCAGGCTTATTTTCAATTGCTTGACTCAAGGCTTTTCGTAGCCGAACAAAATTAGTAATGGCTAGCATTGATGGAGCAAAGTATGAACAGCATTGCGCAATGATTGCACACTGTAACTAATAAAATTTAGTTGTTCTCAGCAGGACATGATTACCGAATATCTTGAAAGCAGTACATTGTTGGATAACATGAATGTTCCAATCTCTTTGGCATTTTTTGAGTTCGTCCTGGTGAAGGTATGGATTGCAAGCAAGCGTTATATAAAACATCGGATATCAGTGACATGGCAATTCAGCAATTTGTCATTGTTATCTATTGTTCAACATCAAATCTCAACTTGGTTGGCTTTGATTCTCTCAAAATTTTTATGAAACAAACGAAAAGATCCCACATCCTTGGTAAAAGGTACAGCGTTCAATGACAAGACATTTGATTGATTGCAAATGTCTCTCCTATGGATAGCTTACCTCTGACTAGACATACCGCTGGTCAATGCCTCAATCGTATGGCAATGTGTAACGCTCTGACTCACTACTCTTCCCAATAGGACATGGCGAGTATACAACATGGGATTCCTGTTAAAGCATTGTAATCCGATAGCAAGTTTCATATCGCCTATTGAATACACTTTGCTAATTGGCATATCACCTGTTTTTTTTTCTTTCGAGATCCTTTTAAAAAGATCTGATTGTTCTCTTTTGAGTTTCTCTTTATTTTCCATCTTTCCTTACTACACTAGCATGTCTAAGGTATATTCTGCTCAAGAAGTGGCGAAACACAACCACGAAAAGTCTCTGTGGGTCATATTCAATGACAGGGTGTATGATGTAACTGACTTCTCCAAGGACCATCCAGGTGGAGATGATGTTGTTCTCGAGTATGCCGGCAAGGATATCACAGAGGTCATGTCGGACAAGCTCTTGCATGACCACTCTGAGGCTGCCTTTGACATGATGGACGATTACTTGATTGGTACGCTGGAAGGCAGTGATGTAAGTATTGGCCCTGTCAGACATTTAGAGGGATTGCGTGCAAGCCTTCATCGTAGACGTGTGGGTTTATTGGAGAAGGAGGTGGAGTACAAGACATATAAACAGGAGGACTTCTTTCCCACTGTCACCGATACGAAAGCTGATATCAAGATCCATCAATTTCTGGATCTCAACAAACCTTTGGTGCCTCAAATGCTGACCATGAAGTTTACCAAGGAGCATTACCTGGAGCAGGTCCACAAGCCTCGCTATTTGAACAGACCTGCTGAATTCTTTGGTATCTCCTGGTTGGAGCCTCTTTCAAAGACGGTTTGGTGGGTAGTGCCTACTATCTGGTTGCCCTATGTCATTTACAACGTTTTCAAATCTCTCGGTTACGGCAACACATTGGCCACAGTGTCCTTTTTCTTCTTTGGCATGTTCATTTGGACGTTCCTCGAGTACGGCCTCCATCGATTTTTGTTTCATTATGATGACCGCATGCCTGAAAATCAGCTAATGTTCTTGCTGCACTTTGTTCTCCATGGATTCCATCACTACTTGCCAATGGACAGGTAAGCCAGCGATTTGCATTAATCATGGCGCCACTTTTTTAACGTTTTCCGTGTAACGCGATCAATTTAGATTAAGACTTGTTGTGCCACCTACTTTATTTGTTGTTTTGGCTTACCCCTGGATCTCTTTGGCTCATATGCTGTTTCCTCCTATGACGGCTTACGGTGTTGTTGCTGGAGGCATGTTTGGCTACATTTGCTATGATATGACACATTATTACGTCCACCACGCCAAGGTCATTTCATTCCATTTTACCGAGATGAAAAAGTACCATTTGGCCCATCATTACAAGGACTTTGAAGCTGGCTATGGCATTACCTCCAAGCTTTGGGATTACGTCTTTAAGACTGTTTTAACTTACAACTAATTTATATACTTTCGCTCATTCGCGTTTTTCTTTCTTGCTTTTCATTTCATAATTTATTAAAGACATACATTTTTCATTGCATACACACACTCTGCTTTATAAAAAAAAAAAGACGACTTTATTTAACGCCTCTTGTTACCCTTATTGCTATTTCCACCCTTATACTTTCTCTTTCCTTGGGCACCACCCCGTTCCTCTTGGTCCACATCAGCATCATCGTCATCATCCTCGTTTCTACGACCACCACGCTTTGACTTTTTACCGTTCTCTGTCTCCTTCAATTCTATTGTTGCGATACGTTGTGCTTCATCCACACGCTCTTGTAGCATCATCACTTCATCCTTCTCGACAGGGAAAGCATCTAACTTGCGCTCCAAATCCTTCTCGATACGTTGAATCAATTCCACATCGTATTGTGTGACAAAGGTGACGGATTTGCCAGATCGACCAGCTCTAGCAGTACGACCGACACGATGGATATAATCTTTGGAGGACTGAGGTACATCATAGTTGATCACAACATCCACCATGGGGATATCAATACCTCTACTAGCGACATCCGTGGCAACCAAAATGTTGCGAGTACCTGCTTTGAATTTGTTGAGTGCGCCTAAACGTTTGGCCTGAGGCAATTGGCCGTGAAGTGGGACAGCTGCAAAGCCCAAGTTTCTCAACATGATAGCGATCTTTTGAGTGTCATGGCAGGTACGTGTGAAGATAATGGTGGAGTTGCCGGCAAGTTCGTTCAAAAGGTACACCATGTAGCAATCCTTGTGTTTTAATGGGAAGAAGAGGTAGTATTGTAGGAGAGTTTTAACGGTCGAGTACTTGGTGGCGACTTCCACTTTGACAGGCTTGTGTAAACTGGCTCTTTGAAGCTTGGCCACCTTGGTTGTCATAGTAGCAGAGAACAAGAATGTGTTACGCTCGCGAGGGATCACCTTTAAAATTTGATCAATCTTGGGTCCAAAATCCATGTCCAACAAACGATCTGCCTCATCCATGACGAGATACTTGAGGTTCTTCAAACTGAATCCCTTTGTGTTTTCCAAATGGTCTTGAAGACGACCCGGTGTACAGACAATGATGTGAGGGCGCTTGGAGAGGGCAATTGATTGAGACATCATATCCATACCACCAACAATAACTGCGGAACGGACACCGATGACTGAACCGAGTGATTCAAATGTCTCTGCAATTTGGTAAGCCAATTCTCTGTGAAATGTGGATGAGTTACTGCCGTACCATCTGGACATACTTGATGACTTACCTTGTAGGAGCTAAAACACAAGCAAAGAAGGCTTGAGGATTGTCCCACAGTCTCTGAATGATGGGAATGGCAAAGGCTGCAGTTTTACCAGAACCAGTTTGAGCAAGACCGATGATATCACGGCCTTCGATAGCCCAAGGAATAGACTCTCTTTGGATTTCTGTAGGATGCTTGAACTTCATTTTCTCACAAGCTTCGCACAATTGAGAAGAGACACCCTGTATATGTCAGTCGGTTGTTAGTGAATCTACAGTTACATTGGCATGGATAGAATTCTTACAAGATCAGCAAAGGTAGTATCCTCCAATTTTTTCTTTTGCAATGCTTCCATATCAACGCTAGGTTGGGCTTCTTTTTCAGCGGCTTTGGACATGATCTAGTATCAAACAAAAAATGTCAAGATGAAGGGTGGAAAAAAATCAGCCTGTAGAATTTTCTCGAGAAATTATAAAGTACAAATCTGATTCCATCAAGCCACCACAATAGAATGCTCTGGGATGATAAACAGTCTTTCAAGGTGACCGTCGGCATACCTGAGTATGGCAACATTGATGGATATTGTTTGCAGTTTTTTTCTGCATAGTCAACGTTGAATCCACCATGTCAGAAATCGACACCAAAAAGAAGCAAACCTCTGCTGACGATTTTGAGGACGACTTTGTCGAGGAAGAAGCCATCATTTACTCTGACAATGAGGCTGCTATCTCTGATGATGAAGGAGCATCTGCCCCCTTAAAGAGAAAGCCTGAAGCTGTCAACCAGGACAATGCTGAAGAACCACAAAAGAAAAAGAAGAAGAAGCAACCTAAAAAGAAGAAAGGACCCATCAATCCCTTTGATACCATCAACATTTGGCAGGAAGATGCCACTGTACAAGCCGAGTACTTGCAAGATCGTCAAAAGCTGGCCTTACCAAAACTATCAGCAGTCGAATTGGAGGAGCAAACCTTACCAGAATCACAGCTTGTTAACAATGAGAATTTCAAACAAGAGCATACATTGGAAGCATTACCCAACTATGTCAAATTTGGTGTAGCTGGTCATAAGAAGCTGGCAAAGAAGCCTACTGTGCTCGCTAGCCCAGTCGCCTTGATCGTTACTCACTCTGCCATCCGTGCTGTCGATTTATGTCGGTAAGTTGGATTCTGTTTGTTTTATTTTTCTGCCATGTCGACTGATTGTATGATTCGACAGTGCATTGAAGGAATTTGCCTCTACAGCAAAGATTGCTAAATTATTCGCCAAACACTTCAAGATTGAGGATCAAATCTGGTTTTTGGAGCATGAATCCATTCATATGGGCGTTGGTACACCTAACCGACTTCAGGCACTTGTAGAGCAAGGACATTTGAAACTGGATAATCTAGAACTGCTCGTCATTGATACTGAGAGAAATCCCAAGAAATTCAACATTTTCGACCTCCAAGAAGTGCGAACTGATCTGTTCCAATTTCTCGGTAAACACATTTCTCCTTTAATGAAGAATGGCAAAACAAAGATTGGTTTGTTTTAAGCTGCAACATGTACATTTCCTCCTCCTCCTTCTCCTCAATATCACATATCGCCTTCCCTTCACACATGCTAGAAAATACATGAAGGAATAAATATGTCATTTCACATAAGAAATGCGGTAACCTAAAATGCAATTTGCATGACCTGGTCTATATCTATTGTATGAATGACGAATGTTGCTAGTAATTTTCTAGGCCAAACCGCCTAGTTCCGTTTACCCTTTTTGAGATGAATTTTTCCTTTTCCAAGCTTTTTACCCCACAGTGCTGTTGCCGTTAACTTGTTTATGATAAACGATACCAGCAGAGGCAAAAAAAAAACCTTGATACAATCATAACCCTAAAGCCTAATTTTCTGCTTCGGTAATTCAATGTAAGAACGTGTTCTGCTGTAGTTTCCATCAATGAAGCTACCCCCCCGCTCATTGCAAGTGTTTATACAACTTCTTTCTTTCCATCATTCCTCTTTATGGCACCTGTATCATATTGACAAATATCGAATCACGACGTCATTGAAACTCAAATTTGTCTTTATAAATGCCCTTGAAAGCGAAACCTGCATCTTCTTCTTCTTCTTTTGCCTCCATCTCTGGTTCATCCACTACGACCATCATCAATACCTCGCCTCGCACTGAAAAGTCCTTTCTCAAACGTAGATTTTCGGCGCAGAAAATGTTAGCCAAAGCTAAAGATACCACCAAATCTCTTGTCCATGAGGTGCTGGACAAACGCAGCAGTTTAGAGTCAAAGCGCTCAGCGCATGAGGATGACCAAATACCAAACAACAACCCATCATCCAATTCATTGGTATCTCAAAAGAGGGCAAGTGCAAAGGAAGACAACGAAACTGACAGTGATGCGACATCCAGCAGCCATAAGAAATCAATGCTACGTACATTGTCATCTCGACCCAAACACTACAGCCTTCCCATTAAGCGACCCTTTGTCATCAAAAGAAACACATCGACCAGAAGCCTAGAATCGCTAACTTCCAATTCAATGGCAACAGACACAACGGTATCCTCCTTGGTAGTAGCAACGACTGATAATGCGGATCCCGAATCCATGAACCCAGCGGCAGCGGCAGAGGCAGATATCCTTAATGGACAGGAAAGGCCCGGTAGTTTTGCCACTGCTTGTGATTTCCGATTGGCGAACGATAAACGAAACGAGGAATTTCACGCGCTATTCAAGAGTGTACCAGAAAAGGACATGCTTATTCAAGGTACAGCCAACAAACAAATTACACACAAAGAGTCTAGATTTATTCATTATTCGTGATAGACTACAAATGTGCGCTTCAAAAGGAGATTTTGCTGCAGGGACATCTCTACGTCTCTGAAAACCATGTCTGCTTTAAATCAAACATCTTTGGATGGGTCACCAATGTAAGTTGTCTCTTGTTTATCGCAAGAAATGGATGTATATGTATATTGATCTACTTGTGAAACATGTAGCTTGTGATCAATCTTACTGAAATCACTCGAGTGGAAAAGCGAATGACAGCCAAAATCATTCCAAATGGCATTCTTATTGCTACTAATACTTCTACAGTAAGTCCCTATATATATATATATACAAGGCCATATCAAGGCAACCAGTTGACATGTTTCATACAAATAGCACATTTTTGCCTCTTTTCTATCGCGTGATCAAGCATATGATCAAATCATCAAACTCTGGGACCTCAAAAAGAGGGTATCGTCCGTGATATTACCTGCCGATTCACCTCTAAATCGATCCAACTCTTACGACGACGATGAAGAAGAGACGGACGATGAGGGCAGCGTGCCTTCCATGGATTCAGCCATCATACTCCATACACCTCCCCTATTGATTACTGACCATGATTCCGTCTTGCATCATGAAGATTTCGCAAGTGATACCCTCACCAGCAGCAAACCATCTTCTTCTCCTTCTCCTCCACCTCCTGTATCCAGTAGCACAACAGCCGTGAATTCATCGTCAGCCATTTCAGCCGAGGAACCTGCATCTACTACTGGCATGACAAACAATGGGTCTGCAATTACCAGTATGAACAAATCTCTCTATACCAATACCCTCAAACAGCAATCTCGTCCACGATCTGCTTCTGACACGTATACGGGTCGAGAACGACGTAATGTTACCATTGAGCCCAAACTGGAGTCTGGTCCCAAGCGTGAAATTCGTCAAGACGATGCATTGACGCCTATCAAAAAGACAAGAGTGTGTCCATGTACAGTGAAAGGCGAGCAGTACTTTCACATTGCCCTGAACGAAACGTACAAAGGCACTGTGGAAGCAGTATTTAAATTACTATTTGATAGTGAATTTATCAAGGACTTTTTGGAAAAGTATGAAAACTTTGAAGGTAGGAATATGACGGCCATACCATTGATAGAATACTAAGCAGTCAGACAGATGTGCAGCTTGGTCATTGGAAGCATGGCGTTCGCGAGGTTACCGGCAAACGCAAAATCAAAAGTGCCACAATGGGTAAATTGTATAAACAGCGCATTATATCATTGTATCATGTTTTAATTTATGCTTTTTATTACAGGCACGAAAATCGTGAAAACTGTATTTCAGGAAAAACGAATCCACCGTAAATACCCCTACTATTGCTGTGTCACTGCCAGAAAGTCAATGCCAGACATGCCAATGGGCGCTGTATACTCTATCCAGTCTCGCACATGTATCACCCGAGTCAACAAGGAGAAGGTGCACGTTTTGGTTACCTTCCAGGTGGTATTTTCGAAAAGTGGATTAGTGAGCTGTAAGTAGATTGTTCTCTAGGATGTAGATTGAGCAGATTTTGACTAGATTTCATTATAGCCATCATTGAAAAGAACGCTGCTGATGATCAACTCAGACTGTATACACATCTCAACTCCATCTTGAACAAGCCTGATTTAATACGTGAGATTGTCAAGGATGAACACATTCTGGAAGCATTGCAAATGATCGAGCCAAAGCCGAAAACGAAGAATGACACACCAAATGCATTGCGGAAACAATCTGCATTGAATCGAATCTGCTCTCCTAAACTCAAGGACTTTATCTACATTGGCTTCTTTTTGGTTGTATTGACACACTGTGTGCTGGCTTTACGATTGCATCGTATCACACATCGTTTGGAACAAGTTCAGCGCAATAGCAAGCCACTCAAACCACAAAGTGACTCAAAATGGCTCAATTACAAAATGAACAATGTGCATCACAGACTCGACCAGTTGAAAGGAGAAGTGCAAGACTTTGATCAGCGCATATTGAAACTAAAACCTACTGTCTAAATAGAGATCATTTCATGTACATACAATATTACTTTATCAATTTTACATATTACTAAATAAATTAGCCATCCATCAGCCCTCATTTCTGTTGTTTTGAAAACTCCACCATTGTGTAGTATATGACATTTAGCACTTATTACATTAAGCTTAAGACGCTACTAGCATCATCATCAGTTCAACGGAATAAGCAAAGCATAAATTTACCCCTGAACGGAGCTGAAAATCAAAATCGAAATTAAGCATGCAATACAAATCAAAAAGGGAAATGGCACATGAAGACCTATTATTTACTATAAAGACATGAAAAGAGAAACAGAATAAATGCTATATTGGGGTTTTTTTTTGTATACAAAGAAAGAGAGAAGGGGGGGGGGAATGCTTTTTAAAAATAAATATGATAAATGAAAAACTGTTTAAGAAAGACCTCGAAGAATTTCCAATGCTTTTTCTGAGCGACGAACGAGCAGAGCGCTATTGTCTTTCTTAACGCCGACTGACTCATGTTCTTCATCAAATTCAGAGCATTCACAAGCAGAGTCAATCTCATCAATCTGACTGGAAACATAAGCACCCAAGCGACTCAGACGCTCAACAATAGCTTGATTTGTGCGCAATCCATCCAGTGAGTGGCGACGAATCATGCGACGCAAATGTAGACTAGCGTTACGGACTTGCTCAGTCATGGTGTTCTCCCAGACATCGCGGTCCTTGCTGTCAGCGGCTAATACAGGCGCTAAGCGCCATGCAGAAATCCAGGCTTCCAGACCAGTTACATGAGTGACAAATTCAGCAAGTGCCAATACAGAGCTTTCAAGATCATGGTCGTGTTCCACCTTCTTTTGATAGCGACGCTTGGTAGAGCTGTCCTTGTTAAGATTCACCATCTTCTTGATTTGAGTCTTGATTTGCTCTGCCTTCCAAAGCTCTTCAATACCACGACGACGTTGTTCTTCACCCTTTTGTTTAAGCAAGTAGGCGCCGACCAGAATGTGAATCATGCTCTTTTTGATTAATTCATCCAATTGGTTCATACGATCCTTATGACAAACAATGTCGGCTCCAGTGATTTCTCTAGACACAAGAGAGCGAGGTACCTTCTCAACCAAAGTCTTGAGCAACTTCTCGGCAGCCTTGGTATCGCTCTTCCAGAGAGCATCCACAGTAGCACCAACAGCAGCGAGCCAGTGAGCCAAGCGATGGTAATCACCAAAGCGGTTGTCGCTCTCCATGGCAGGGTCGGTGATATCCATCAACTGAGTAAATGCGGTTTCACGTTCACTCTCCTCGGCAACCATTGCAGCTGTAAGAGGCTTGGCAGTGACAGAGATGACAAGACGACCAAACTGTGTTTGCAAATTATCAAGCAAATGAAGCGTAGAAAGGATACCAACGGGCACAAGAACAGGCGCTGTCATAGATAGCGAGAGACCACGAGCTTCGGCTTTACCAAAGTGTTCGATTTGTTGGTTCATGACTTCTAATGTTTCATTCCAAGCGCGAGAAGCAAGCATCACCTCCATTCGATCCTCGCCGTCGTCTTCATGACAGTCAAAAATAAGAGCACGCATCAATGGGTCGTCTTCAAGGCCAGACTCATACATGGACAAGCGCCAAAAGTAGCGAGAAAGCATTTCAGACAGGCCATGATGGGGAATAACAAGAGCCATTTGCAAGGCAGTGGTGGCGTATACTCGGGAACGAGATTGCTCGACATACTCGTTGTCATCATCTTCCATCAGTTCAATGAGATTGAGCATGTGGAAGCAGGAGTAGAGCATGGAGGAGCGAGTGACATTGGGGTTGCCACCGAGGCATTCAACCTCGTTTAGCTTGATCCATTTACAAGCTTGGACCCATTGTTCCTGAGGCGTCAGGTCCTTGTCATCATACAATATTTCATAGCCGAGCCAATGACGACTGACAAAACGAGCAATTTCTTTACCAAGGGTAATGTAGAAACCAAGAGTGCTTTTGTGGTTTTGAGGAAGAACTGATGGCTTTTGAGACTTTGAGATTTCATCGTTTTCCAGGGACTTCACCAGGATGCTGTAGATTTGCATGCATTTTTGGTCGCCAGGCGTCAATGAAGTGACATGAGAAGCAATGTTTCCGTTGAGCGACGACTTGTTTTCAGGAGACGCAGTTCTAGATTTCTTGTTGACTCTCTTGACTTTGAAACCATAAGAAAGCCAAAACCTCAAGACAGGGAAAAACAATTGAACAAGGCAGACGGCAAACATGGTAGACCGCAAAGCGGACCTAACGAGAGAAACACATTAGCTTCATAAAATTTATAGTGGGATTTCATAAAAACAAGACTTACCAGCCATCATGGAGAGGGAACAATGTAGAGAGGAACGAGTTGTCAGAGCTTGAGTTGGAGGCAAAGATGCTATCAGCGGTACGAGAAATGTGGTTGTGGTTCTCAAACTGTTCCTTGGAGGTGGGGCCCGCAGAGAGAGGAGAAGCAGAGAAGAAGCTGATGGCCATAAACACGGCCATGAAAACACGATTAGCAACATTAGTATTGTTGCCTTGTTGCTGGTGTTGCTGCTGAATCATATCATGCAATTGTTGCTGACGCTGTTTCTTTGCTGGATTGACAGTAGGAGGTGTCAGTGGGTCAGCAGAATTGGAGGAAGAACAAGACTCATATTCATTCTCTGGAGTTTCGGGATGGCGAGATCTCTTTCTGCTGTTAGATTTGCGTTGCTGTTGCTGTTTATGCTTTTGCATAGCACGCTCTTGTAGTAGTTGTCGTTGGAATTCTTGCTCGCGTTGCATCTTTTGCATACGATAGCGGCTCAATACGTCATGCCCACCAGGCAACTGACCAAGAAGATGTTGCAGTGTGGCATTCTCTTGTCGCAAGTCATCCCCTGTGCGCTTCAAATGCAAGATGTACTCGGTAGCTTTGCGGAGAATAGTAGCCTTATTCAGCTTGGTAGCAATGGCGACACCATCGAGGTATTCTTCGCCATCTTCATCGTCTTCATCATCTTCGTTATTAGTAGCACGATGGCTTCTCTTGTTGCCAGTGCGAGAGTCTTTCACCTTGGCGTAAAGCAAGGCAGGAACAGCATTTTTCAGCTCCGTGATACGGTCATTGATATTGTTTCGATAGCGACGTTCAATCGCGTTGTGCGCAGTCTTCTTTTGTTGAGGCATTGGCAGTTGAGCAACATTAGCAGCATTGACAGTAGAAGCAGGGGCTGTATTGTTGTTCAAATTGGTTCCTATAGCAGCAGCAGCAGCGGCTGCAACATTAGGATTCAGTTCAGTACTAGATGGCTTTTGTTTATCTAGAGGAATTTAGTTAGTTTTTTGTTGAAATGTGTCTCGTTAGCAAGCTTTCTCATACCTTCAACAGGAGAAGTAGCTTGTTGCTGTTGCTGTGTGGTGGTTTGGACGAGACTGTGCTGATGTGGTTGTGGCTGAACTCTGAAATTCATAGGAGCAAAGATGTTATGTTTCGGTGAATGCAAGGGAGTTTCCAATGGTGTAGTATTGCATGTGGAGATGGGAGAGCGATGATATAAAGTATGCTGTTCAGGGCTACCAAAAGGCGAAATGATAGACTGCATGGCTTCACTGCTCGGAGAAGTAAATGCTACATGCTCTGGACTAGTGTATTCAAGTTTGATGTCTGTGGCATCTGGAGGCGCCGTCCAATGGCTGCTGGAGCTACTGCTCATAGTTTGAGGTGAGGATGGTAGATTTAAACTATTGGTGTTACATAGCTGTTGATCAATAGACTGAAGTGGGTTCTGATTATACTGTTGAACAAAGGCATTTTGATTGTAATGTGTAGTGTTGTTATTGACAGGCGGCAAATAATTTTCAAAATCTTCCCATGCTGCCATTTCATGCTGTATGGCCAGTTGAGCTTGTTGTTGTAACTCTACATCAAACTGAGATAAAGACAGATAAGGTGCATTGTCATCGTTGTTTGATGTGGGCAATTTATGCTGTTGAGCTGGAAGACTAGCGAATGCTTCCATTATACAGTTTGAAAGAAATGAAAAAAGTTTATAATGAAAATGAGGGGTTAAACAAAAGAAAGAGGTAAAAGGGTTGAGCATCCTTTTTTTTTTCTTTATTATTATCATTTTTTTTTTTTTACAAAGGTTTCGAATATACATCGGAAGCAAGGTTTGTGGGCTGATTTTTTTGGATTTTTCTTTTTTTACACTTCCATTTTCCTTAAAAGATATGGGCCGTATATATACACTTGTCTTGCTGAGTTCACCCAGATTCAATTTATAACGTATATTGCTGTACTCGTTATTCATGTATATACAATCACTGGACATCTGATCTGTATATCGCAGCGGCGCAGAGCAGTCGAGACTCATGTTATTTTACATGGTAACTGTACATTGTATAAATCAGATCAGGAAATCCCAAAAAATATTCTTCAATGTTTCAGAAATTAGGACATTTACCACATTCAGCAAGGAAATTCTCCTTAAATAAACAGATCCACCCAGTTGCCATAGCAACAAATTGTTTTTACTGAATGCTTCTTGACTGTACAAGCCCATCTGCAACATCACAGTAAAATACAATAGTTTATTGTCAATTAAAACCGTTTACACCACATATACTAGACCCCCAAAAGCTGATTCAAATGATTTGCCGGGCCAAACACTGTTGCAATCACACGCATTATAGCCGGAAGCTCGGTTTCAAGCCTGAATTAGTTTGGTAATTATTCGGCATTGTGATTAATTCATCATGATGGTTACCCAATCGTAGTTTATACGATTTACCTTGATTGTGTCACTCTGAGTCTCATGCTTTGTAAGAATTGAATGGCTAGAGAGTGCCACCATGCAGTGATATTCAGTATTAGCTAATCTTTTCTTTTTGCAAATTTGCTATATTTTGAGTCTCGAAAACTTTCCAATTTTCTAATAGATTGTGTATTAAGTCCCAAGATAAACAATTGCCTACACGTTGACGTAAATAACATGATAATTCTGACAAAAGATTACATGTACATGACATTCATAATAGCAAAACTGTTGGATAGATTGTTCATTACCGCCAGTGTATTTTGAAATAGATTATAATGTGATAAAGCGTCAGTACTGCTATGCCCCAGATTTCTTTTCTTCTTTTGAAAAGATAAACTACTGATCAACATGATCCCCAAATACAAGTGAAATTTCCTTTCTGAGTGGTCCCATCAAATTTCGCATCGCCTTTCACAGTTGCTCTAATTGCAGCACAGGCATCTTGCACAGAACTGTTGAATTCAATTAGCCTCTTACAAAACATCCAATAGCTTGAACGTTTCTGCAATTGTGTATCGTAGATCAGTTTATGAATATCTTTTGACAAAGGTTGAAGTAGATACACCCGACAGAAAAGTCCATAGCTTATTATCATATTGCTCATCAACAGAAATTATATAAGTCAAAACTTCTTCTATTGCGGGCCTGTTGCCACGACTTGAAACGGGCTTGATTAAGTAAAGTGCCTGCAAGCTTCTTAGATCATTCGATTATGTATATTCTCATTTAACTTATTAAAAAGCAGCAGCTGTTGTCTAGCATAAAGCTAATGCTTTGATTTATTACTTGTCACCAAGCACTGCTACGACTGACTTGATTTATGATGTAATTGTTCAGTATAGATTACCAAGAAGCTACCAAGAGATGATATTCTGTCCGCAAAATATAGTATTGCAATGAGTCTAATTTCTGACTGAATGATGCAAGTAGCAATCCGTGGTATTGATACTTTGAATTGCATCAAATTATGTTCTTTCCACGAAAAGAATGTATTTTTATACGATGGAATCACTGGATTGTCCACACATTGCACGTCGCTTATTTTAGATCTGCTATATGCACATGTGCTGGAGAAGATGATAGTATATATTTATAGTACTATCTGTTTAATAATATAAATCATGCAATGCTTTATTGCGTTTCTTTTAGACATAGCGTGTAACAGCACTGGCAAAATGACATGATTTTTTTTTTAGCACAACGAGCGATTAAACGCTACACTTGTATATAACATCTGAAGCCTAATGTGTGGTAAAGCATAACACCCCACAAAAGTGAAATGTGTGGTAGATCTATGTTTAATGGCTGGGAACTTATACTGAAAACGCTTGATTCGTGAGATATTCAGCATGACATTTTTTAGCGAAGAGAATCTGTAGTGTATCTTAAATTGAAAGGCTTAATGAAGTAGAATGAAACAAGCTGCCGCCATCTAGTCTTGGAAGCATGCCCCACCAACATGTCTAGAATCCATCAATTACCTGAAATTAGCAGCCTATTAAGGAGACCATAGTACACTACGAGGTCAACACCGACCACACATTTGGCTGGCGAACATTTTCGAGCTGTCATCGGCCCATCAGTTAAGATCCACGAGTTTGCATTTGTTTGACAGCATTACACCCTGCACCCTTCGACCGCTTTAACATGTCATTTTTCAAGTAGTCGTTGTTTTTGTATTATAGCAAACTTATATAGAATTGAAATACGCATCGAATGGTATTTCCCTTGATAGTTATTCAACATGTTGCATTCAGATAGGCAAGCGTTTCACGTTTTTTTGCAAGTTTTCAAAGGATAATATCTAGTACTAGGCCTTTACTAACTTATTTGTAACATTTTTCATTGTGTAAATCCAAAAGGCACCTATTGCTTGATATCTCATCAGAAGCTGTATCGTTAGATTTTGTAAATCAACAATGCCCAATAGGTCAGCTCCAGCCAAAATTGTTCAAAATTGACCGATCAAGCTTAAATTATACTACAGTGGAGCATACAACAGCAATCTCGTTGTGCGTTGCTATCAGTCCATTCAGGCTCTAATTTTTTTTACTACACTTGGACGCCGTATGGACGTTCCTGTGCTTTTGTTAAAGAAAAACGTGTTTTGCCGTTGTACCCTACAGTTTGTGGATTCAAAAGTCGATGTTTGAGAAAATATCGTAATACGCATCCAAACGATTTTGTAAGCAAACACAAGGAAGCAAAGTTTAACTGGTGGAGATAAAGCTTAGCTGAATTGGCAATTGTACTCAGCGATAATACTGTCGAAACACTGGCTTCATATATTATTGGCTTACTACTTTACACTTTACACTCTTAATTACTTGATGATCATAAACATATAAGACTGAAATATGTTGCAGAATAATGATATTGGAGCAACTTCTTAGTGGAAATATTATATTGGAAATGCATACTTCATGAGATAATCAACATTGGAGATGCTATTTTTAAGCGGGGGAATATACATACTTTAAATTGGAAAAGTTATTATTCTTGAATAAAGCAAGCTACAGTTGTCTAGTCTCAACAGCAAGTTTCTTGTATCTATTGATAACTTGAAACCAGCAAGTTAATATGGCCCTTTTCGTTCGCTCCGATTTTTAAAATGCTCGGTCAAATTCATCCTTGTGTCGTGTACACACAGAAGGCCAACGGAGCTTCAGTTTCTATTGTTCTGAATGATGATTCATGGGATTCCGAAATCTATTGACATTAAAATTACGCGTTTCTTGTTAGTAAATACCCCTTCAAACTTATATAAAACCTGTAGAGAATTTAAAGGAAAATACAATGGTATTTATATCAAGTCTCTGGTGTACATTGTTCACCTAATAATTGGTACGATTTTTTTTTCCTGTCATCAAAACATTTTGTTCAGCATTACTAAACATTGTAGACCAAAAAAATTCCTATCAAATGAGCTATCGCTTGAAGCTCTGGCATAACTCTATCATGAAATATTGACAATCATGTCCTGACCAAAAAATCGTCACCAGATTTTTTGCTTGCTATCACACGTAGATTCTGAAGAAAAATCAATGATTTTGCATGACACCCTTTTTTGACCATATTTCGACAAATACTCACTGGATTCGCACAAAACAAAGACCATTCGATAGCTGTACGTTATATCTAGTATAATATAAGAGTTTTAAGTACCAGATGTGCGTTCCCTTCATAACTTTGCTCAAAATCGTATATTTCATGAGCTACAAGCAGGGGATAATCAAAACTTTCTTTATTCATCTATAATAACCATATTATCATATAGGAAATTGAAAAAGAAACAGAACCTATTAAGCTTTAAGCTCATGTTCACTTAGTAAAATTAACCGGTACGGCCCTTTGAAATTTGTCCATTTTCACTCTTTTTCCTCATTACTCATCCACATCCTTCTCAGCAAGCCCAAATATAACATTCCCTAATCAACCAAAGTACCCTCTACAACTTTTACTAAACATACAGCCATCATTTATATAATATTCAAATGTCTTTTATTAATAGCATCTGTCCATAATTTGCACAGTTCAAAAATCACACTTTCCTCAACCACATCTCTTCCTATCTAAAATCCAATTATACCATCGTTTTCTATGAAAAATTCGTTATAATAACTTGCTAATTTCAAAGCTCGAATTTCAAAATCGAATTTCAGAGAAATCGAAAGAGAAATAAAAGGCCCACAGAGAAAAGCCGCTCGCGATGATTCCAAGGTATAGCCCCTACGACAACTCAACCGGCTTACAAGTCATACTGGACTGCCTTAACGACTGGTCTTGGCTACGAGATGAGATGAAACTCTGATTTCTAGTTTCATAATGTACGTTTTATCAAGGCTGTTCTATCTGCACATGCATAGAGCATTATCAAAATACGGCTACTACTTCTTACACTAATTGCATGTGTATATTTGGAAATTGAGGCATGTTGAAAGACGACACTCAATCTGGAGACATTTGTATTAAAAAAAAAAAGCGGATGGTTATTCAACGAAGGCTCAATTGGCAAATCTTTGTTTACAACGAGCTGTACAGTAGAAGCATAATATAAGGTGGCTGCAAGGACATCGGCATATCCAAAGTCAGGACAGTTGATGTAACTTTATCAGCTTTTTCTGTGCTGAAAAACGCTATGGTGCTTAGGATTTGAAGACTGAACCTTAGAAGCTTTGGTGGTATACGGTCGTCAAAGTGAGAGCTGATGTTCTTATTGAAGTCCTTTAGCTGTCGATGCCACAAGGAAGTAGAATGTGAATCTATACTGATACTGCGGCATTTCCTTTGTATACCTGTAACGGCAGATATCCTACGTCTAGCCCAAGATGCAAATCTTTATTCAGTTGATGAGCGGAGGGACGTTTCTGGTAGTTGATTTGACGTGCTTTGTGAAATAGTGAAATGTCAAACACGTTGCAGCATACTGCAATCAGGAACGAAACACCAACAATCATAGCTCTGACTTTGGTGGATTACGGTCCCCCAATGTTCATTCGCTTATAGTGCTTGTGAAAATGGCGCGAAACTAAAAGATTAAAGCCTCCATGTACATCTCCATGAGCAAACACCTTTATATATTCTGATCGCTTCGCTTGTGGGTGGGCTGATAGTTTGCATGAACGTAAGCGCATTGGCAATCCTGGGTTTAAAAGGATCATTTCGACACAGACTTCCTCTTTTTTCCTTTTTGTCAAAACCATTCTACAATATGGATTCTACTGCACCCATCACATCGCCTATTCAAGACCCATCCAGCGTCAAGAAAGAAGATTGCTTACCTTGCAGACTCAGTGGTGGAGCAGTTGGTTTAGGTGTTGGTTACTTTTCATTACGCAAAGCTATGCAGCTTCAGAAAGCAGGTGCTGGCAATCCCAATAAAGCAGTTGCTTTAGGTGTTACAGGTGTCAGTAAGTATAAGATCCATCACGTACATTCATAGAACGCCATTTATCTTCATATACTAGTGTTTGCATCGGCTGGACTCTACCGACTCTTCTTTTATTGATCGTAATAAAGCCACTTTATTACTACTAAAATTATATATTTACACAAATGCGCGTTTTGTTTTGACTCTATTTCTTGTTCTTTCTCTTTTTACCAGAGGTGGTGTTCTTCTTGCTGCCAGTAGATTGAGCAGCTACCTCCTTCTCCTTGTCCTTTTCTTCCCCATCAACCTCTTCCTCCTCTTCCAGCTCAATCTCTTCAATCTCAATGGAGCCTGTCTTGGGATCGGCAACTACTTCCTCGATGATAGTTTGACTGAGCAACTGGTTCTTTTTCTTTTCGTCCTTCTTCTTCTTGTCCTTGTCATCCTTTTCATCTTCAGTGGTGTAAGCAAACAAATCCTTTAATTCACCACGAACAACAGCAGTGATCAATACAGACAGAATACAAGCGGGACTCAAGTAGAGCAAAGCGGGTTGAGCAGCCTTGAAGAAATGCATGACGACCATCGTCAAGCCCAAGCCCAAAACGTAAGCAATGAGGTTAGCGGTAAAGTAAGGCTTGGGAAATTTGGTGGATCTGAATTGACCGACAGGGTTACGCTTCCAGGACATGTGGCGATCGAAGCGAAGACAGAGAGCAACAAAAATACCAGGGATCACGATATCGCCCAAACCGAGCATGGTGAAGCGAGCATCCTCAGTTTGAGTGAACAGGAACTCGATGATATCACGAGGCCACAGGAGCTTGATAGGGGCATCAAAGTTGGTGGCAACGGAGACCATGACAGGAGTGTAAAAGACCCAAAAGATGTCGTAAAAAAACAAACCACTCAACAAGATCATACCTGTTTTAAATGAGTCTAACGAGAGCAATTGGATAGCATTGACAGAGAAGGAGAGGCCGAAAATGTTGGACGCAATCCAGTTCTTGGTATAACTGTAGTAAGCTGTTAATGCAATGGAAGCGACAAGAAGGATGCCATGCACAACTGTGAAACTGATATGAGAGATATCTAAGGTGTGCGTTTGTTAGTTTGCGCTTTTGGCATGATCAGCATCACAAAAAAGGATGAGGGTACTTACTCTTTGATCTCTTTGAGAGGGTCACTTTGTATTTAGCGACATTTTTCAACACACTCATGGGAGTCACCTTCTTTGCAACCACCAAGAATGTCTTTGCCACAGCAGCACAGCCCATGATGGAGAAGTAACCGGTAAGCACATAGTTGATGTACTTTTTATCGAGAAAGCGGAAGGCCAAGTACATGCCAAAGAGGACACAGGAGCCGATGATGGGGAATAAATAAGCATCACCGCTTGAGAGGCTCTCAGAAACAGATTCATCTTCATCTTCGGAATCTTCAAGAGGATTGTCTGATTTTTTTGCCTTGGGCGCGTTGGAAGGTCTCTTCATTCCCTTGATGGAGCCCAAAGATCCAGCATAGATGGGCGCCACTGCCATTGTAATGATGGCACCGTAAGCAATGTACAAACCAAGTTCTTTCGTACTTGACTCCATAGTGTAGATAGTTGGAAAAAAAGAGAACAAAAGAGAGGAAAAGAAAGTGTGGATAAAAAAGTGCCTTATTTAAAGTAGTGGTTTAATTAAAGGAGGAGCAACTGAACCCAACGTTCTCGATTATCATTGGCCCCCCCCCCCCTATTAGACATTTGTGATGAACATCAAGTAGCAGCGTCTCAACAATTACCAGATGCTACAGCGGCTAAATCGCACATGTGTACTAGTCAAGCAGAATTGCCTGACTTACTTGGTGATTGGCCCTATATCTTGCATCCCAAGGAGACATGTTGCATGTGTCATACAGCTGTGAAATGTCAAGTCGAATTTCAGAACAGCACACACACACACACACACACACACACACACACACACACACACACACACACACACACACACACACATACACAACGCGTTTGAACTTTAAACAGTAGACCTGGAAACGCGCTTTGAAATGTTTTTCTTTAAAAAGCACCAATTTTACATTTTTTTTTTTTCGTTCTGTTCTCTTTTGCTTTCTACAATACGTTTATTTTACATCTGAAATCATGTCATTCAACAACAACTCTGGCGGTTACATGGATAACTCTTACGACAACTCTAGCAACAATACCAGCGGCACTGGCTATACCAAGGTGAGAGACATGGACGGCTGGACCACCAAGATGGCCTTCTAAACGTGTATATAGAAACCTCTTGGCGAACAAACCATGAGACCAGTGACAATAAAGCAAATCAAAGGCGCTACTTCACCTCAGGAAAGCACATTCAAAATCGACAATTCCAATGTTACGCAGGTAAAAAGAGTGCGCAGTAGTGATGGATGCCTGTATGTGTGTCTGACAGCATGTGAGCTAGATAACTTTTATTGGTGTCATTCGTTCGATTCAAGAATTAGCAACAAACTATGTATACACTATCGAGGACGGTACTGGAGCTGCTGATGTACGAAAGTGGTCCGAAAACCCAAATGAATCGCCTGATGATGCTGATGCTCGCCGTGGTCTATTGTAAGAGTGCCCTGACACATGGTTAGCGCAGTAAAGTACTCACATGGGTTGGTAGGGTGGATACGTATGTTCGTGTCTATGGTAGATTAAACAGCTTCAGCAACCGTATCTCAGTTGTGGCCCATAAAATGCGTCCCATCACCGACTTTAACGAAATAACCTTTCACTTCTTGGATGCCATCAACACACATCTCTTGTTTGTCAAGCCTGGATCAAGTCAGTACAAGGTAAGTTTTTCTTTGCTGGGCTGGGATGGAGGCTACGGTGGATCACTGACATGGTGATGCATAGACCGAACGCATGCAAATTGATGGGCTCGCTGCGCCTACTTCACTCAATGATAAGGTCAGCCAAGCTATTAAAGAATTTGATAGCTCTGAGGAAGGTGCCAGCATTGACCAGCTCGTTCAGAAATTCCGTGGAATGCATACTGAGTCTGAGATCCGTGATAGTATCGATTATCTGTTGACAGATGGCCAATGCTACGCTACCATTGACTCTGAGCACTTGAAGTCCTGTCTCCCCTAAGTTCAAGATTAGATATTAGCAGTGTTATTGTATCCCGATTGTATGTAAACAAAATAAAACATTATGCATTTGTACCTTAGCCATTCACGGGGAAAATGAAAAGTGATGCTTGTACAGCGTAAAATCAAGAGCGAGATTTTAATTCTCCTCTTTTTTTCTCTTTCCCTCTTTTCTTGTACTTGGACCGCAAGATGCCCAAACTCGAAAAGATGAGCGCTGAGGAGCACCTCAGTATCAGCAAAAAGATGTTTTACGGCGGATTTGCGTTTCTACCGCTGCTATGGCTGGTGAATTTCATGTACTTTTTCAGCACCACTCGACAACCGAATGCTTCCAAAGAGCTGAAAAAGTGTGAGTAGCTTCTATAAAACACACAAACACATACATCATGGACATAAATTAAACTAGACTACATATAGACGTGTATCTGTCATTTGGTGGCTGCGTTGTTTGGTTCATTTTGCTCACAACATGGTATGGTTTGTTTGTTAACAAGCGAGTGTCCTGGGGTGAAGGAGCAGATCGTATCACAGTAGTTATACCCAAAGGCCTTTAATTAGCAACATGTTTGTATAAATACCATCACCACACCTCCTTGGTCTCATGTTTTGCATCTATCCTTTCTTTTCTTATTCTTTCTTTTCCTTCATTTCCTCTAATTTATGGTTGTTTGTTACTTTTGTGGATCAAGTAAGTTGCGGGATTTGGTTGTCAGCAGCAGCAGCATGAGATGGCAATGCTAACACTCGCACAACCTGCACAGCGAGACACTTCTCCAGTGATTGCGCAAGTATTTTAATTGATTGACCCCAAAATGGCATTTAATAAAAAAAGTATATAAGCAGCCTCAATATGTGTCAATGCTTGCATTAGCACTAAAAAACAACACGATGTCAAGTACAAAGCAGGCCAAGCGCTGCTGCTCGACGATAGCCAACTCGATGGACAATGCCACATCGAGAAACAGAAGAAATTTTATATCGTTTCAGCAACAATGGATTTGTATCACCAAATAAACATCAAACACTATTTGTCTTTTCTTCTATTTCAACACACTTGCAAACAAACGATGTTCTTCTGCGCGTATCATCAGTTGCTGTTGCAGCTGGCATGTCAAGCATGAGCTCTGGATTCTCCTGCATGGCGAGTCAACCGCCGTGTGCAAGGACCTAGATTGCCATCACAGAACATGTGGTAGCATGGACAAAGCTGGATACGTTGCGTGTAAAATGTAGGGCTACATGTTGCTGTATTGAATGTGTATGCCATGCAATACTGGCCCATCATCTTGTTTCGATCATCAGCAGAGATATGGCCAAATGAAGCGTTTGAGCACTATCGTTTCCTTGTATTCGTCGGACACTGCATGACATAGCACATAACTCTAGGTACACAAAAGAAACCCTTAATATCCCATCTGCATGGTATACACATTTACCATTCGTAGACTGAAAATGACACTCACATACCTAGTAGCAACGCTAAAACTACCACACTATCGTCTTTGCGGTTGATTTTCATATGTCTTGTACATGTAATGTTGATTCGCCATTTAAATTGATCAGTGGCAACATACGAGTGGTATAACGCCCTAATGAACGCAATGTGTAGACCATTTCCCACCATATACCCTCTATATTCATAAACACACAGAAATTGCTAGTCTCAGGTTCCAACATTTGTTAAAGTACAAAATCTCACAAAACTAGGATTGTAACACCAGTTGCAAATTGCTGTTATCTCCTGGAGCTGCCCTTATCTTGTTTATCCCCATTGATAGTGTAGCCATCGTCCTGTCGATCCACATTTCGCATGGATGCGTTCCTGTATAGAGACTGAGCTGACATGTAGTGGTAGTATATTTCGTGCTATTTGAAACCATGCGACTAAACTAGACTCTTTTATACGTCTTTAGCAAGTACCACCATGTATGATTTATCATGTTCACTCCTTTTCATATCTGTTCATAGATGGTATTTTCGACCACTGAGGTCTATAATCGAGTAATCATTGGCTGTTGCTTTCTGTACCTTCTGATCTATATTCAAGTTATATCAAAAGCATGAACTCCGAATTCAAGTATTATATAAGCCCATGCTGTGCTTTCTCCTCCTCTTCTTCTTCTTTATCTCTTGTTTGAGAAACTATACACCACAAACAAACATCTATTCAAAAAAAAAAATGACTTTTACCTTGCAACCTGTTGTCCCCAATGCCAAGCAAACCGGTGTTGATTTTGGTGCCATTGTTGACGACCTTGATTTAGAAACTATTTCTCGTATGTGTTCTCTAGCAAATATCACTGGTATACGGGCATCTAATATCCTCTGTAGCTGAGGACTTTGATAAATTGTTTGAAGCCGTCTATACATATCAAGTGGTTGTTGTTCGAAACTCTGGCCATGTCACACCCAAAACACAGTACGAGCTGACCAAGCGATTCGACCCTCAAAACATCGATCTTTACGGCCATGGCTCTATGTATCGCTCCAGTGAATCCGTTATATCTCGTGACATTTCACCTTTGCCCGATGTACCTCAAGTGCAGCTGCTTGGTCATGGCGTTGTAAAGAACCATTATGGTATTGACGAGCGTAAATTGACTCATCCCAGCCATACAGTCTTCCACAAGGATTGCCTGACAAAGGAACAGATGGATAAGGGCAACACGCGCTTCTATCGCTGGCACATGGATGCTGCTCTATACAAATTGAACCCTCCCAAGGTCACTACATTGTTTGGTATCAAGAATCCTGTAAGTTGTTGTTGCATAAAGTCGCTTTATTCAAACTCATGTGAGCCTCAATGCAATAATTAGGAACCCAGACGTGAGATTGTTCGCTACGACGATGGCACAGATGATCAACTTGAAGTTCAATTGGGCACCACAGCTTGTAAGTGGCTTGTTTAAACCATGGCAAATAGAGCATTGACCTGTTGCATAATAGTTGTCTCTGGTCAAAGAGCGTTCGAGATCTTGCCTCAAGAACTTAAGGAATTGGCTTTTAAGACACAAGTGAAATATGCTGCACACCCTTACTTGTGGATGTCTAAAGCCAAGGCACGCAGTACAGGCTTAGGCATGGTTTCTGAAGGAAAAGAACTTTCAAAAGAAGAGCTGCCCGAGATTGAGCCTGAGCATATCAAGATTTATCCTATGGTACGTTTTCTAACACATCATTCATTGCTTTTCTGTGTATTCACCGTCTGAAACACTCTAGTTGTGGAAGAACCCCGTTACAGGCAAAATCCATCTTCAAGTCCACCCAGCTGCAGTAGAGGATTTAATCATTGATGGTAAACCTGTTGGTGATTTGGAAAAGGTCAGAGAGATTCTTTACAAGATCCAACGTCCCTCTATCAGCCCTGAAAATGTATATGCTCATGAATGGAGGGATGGTGACTTTGTCATTTTCCATAACCGTGGCTTGCTCCATTCTGTTGTTGGGTCATTGAGGGATACAGATACTCGAATCTTCCATCAATGCAACATTGCTAGTGCTGATGCTCCTCTTCCTGCTACAGAAGCTGATTTCGCCCCTTACTTGAGTGCTAAATCATCAGCTTAAAGTAGCTGCCTAATTGACATTGTGCTTCTTTTCTCAATCCAAATAAACAAACCTGTACCATATTTGATTGCTGTCCAGCATTTACGTGTGCGTGTATGTTGTTTTGTAGAGATCGATTCGTATGTAAACAGCTTTTCGCACAATGTGGCTGCCGAATCCTACATAACTGAAATAAGATTGCGTTGGAACGTTCCTGAGAAGCTTTCGTTTTAAAATATACGAGCCTTTCAACACGTCGGGTGGCTTCCTGACCTACGCTTCACTTTGGTGGAAACCAACCTACGTTCAAACGGTTCGCGACGCCGCGGGCCATTGGCTCGTATTGCAAAATTTTTATAGCTAAATTCCAGAAGAACCCTGATTGTTAATTGATATATAATCACTAATTATATGAATATTTATGCTTCGGATGGTTCTCTACCTTTGCTTCGCTTCGGTGAAAACCAACCTGCGCAGCGGCAGCTCGTGCTACTGATTGCCCTTGGGTATCTTACCAAAATACTACTACTTTCATGTCGACCTTCCATTTACACATGAGAACCATTCATAATATCTGTGGATCTGATTCTTATTTGATGCTCTACATTCATATACACGTAGCTACTTCATATATGGGCCAGCAGCATACTGGTATTCCCCTTTTTATTCCTTAATGTCCTTGATACAGCAAAATCTGAGTGCATTTGAACTTCGTTTTCTTGCGTTCAAGGCCGTTTTAGATCGTCAGAATAGCACCAAATAGTTGCTCTTATCTGGCACTTACTTCCTGATACCTTTGCTCAACTTTTTGGGGATCAAAAAAACATGGGCAAAAATCGACAAAAAACCATGAGTGATACCTCATGATTTTCATCGAAAATCAAACGATTGCATTTTTTTTACCTTGATAACAAAGACTTTTACTATGGTATATATTGATTCAAAATGTTTCTATCGATCTAACGTAACCACTGAAATCATCTTTGTGGGACTTTGATATGTAAAATTTCAACATTTTGGCCAGAAACCTCTTTTCATGTTTTAGTAAATTACTTAATAAGTTTATTCAAAACATCTATCTTACTTGGTACCATTGAATGCACCTTGAAAAGCACTTCAAGGAAGCTTAAGGAGGTATGGGGTGATTATCATATTATATATAGTCGAATCTGCTAAAATAGATCAATCGAGTCGAAAAACATTAAGATTGGGCCAATCTGGAAACAACCGATGTGTCTGGATTTGAATTAATTTTGGCTGGTGGGGGGGGGGGGCTGGTTAATCTTATATGAGCCAGGCCTGACAGATGCTTTGAAACTTAGTTTTCATATTAGGGTTGTAAAAGCGTCTAGGGACTGAACATTTACCTAATATGATTAAACGCCCATGCGCCATGCTTCTAAAGAACAATCTAGTAAAGTAATAAACTAGGGGCATTCGTCGTGTGGCGCTTGTAATAATGATATTCAGAGCTTCTGAAGCTTCTTTGGAAAGAAAGTAGAATATGGTATTGTATACACTGGCTAATTTTTGAGCTTGATGGATTAAGCGTGTGAAACGAACGAAACTCGAGGTTATAGCCATTAATGCGTGATTAAGGTTAACTCAAAGTTATCGCTTATTGTAAGCCCTGAAATCAGGTAATTTGTATTTGTATCAGGAGGGCAATCAGAACGATCTTCATGCTATTGCGATCATACAATGATATGATGCTTTTGCTTTTAGGCAGCGTGCTTTCAACATCTGTACCATTGTCCGTGAGCTGCTATTGACTTGATTTCTTTCGATTTTTGTTATACAAAGCTGCATTGAAGATTGCTTCTGAGATAACCTTGATAGGCATGGCAACACTGGTATCAGCTAATCAAACCTTATTTCAGCTTGTGTTCAATATGGGCATTGCACTTGTATCTGACTGTTGTAGAGCAACTATAAAGGAGTATGGCTGTAGCTGAGGCATGGATGCTATTAAGCTAATTTGGCACTGGATAATACTGTCGTAATTGCGAAAAAAAGAACCACCACATCATAACCTCAAGACACAATGAAAACCCTTTGTTTCCTATCAAAACCAGATAGGGTTTTCACAAATCAGTGTATTCAGCAACATCCCAGCCATATGGCACCAGTCAGCAGCCAACCAATAAGTGATAGATAACAATACACCATGTGTAACGATTTGGTTGACTATGATGGGATCATCGTGAATCCTCAAATGAGTAAATTTACGGTTGTAAACATGGCTTTAGATCCAAGCATCTGCTGACTCGACACAAGCGAGAATATGGATGATGATAGACAATTTGCTTTATATAAATAAAATATAAAATAACATCACACTCCAAAATTGATGGTTCTAGAATTACAAGATTTTATTCATCATCACATGTCGACTATAGTGTAATTTTTAATGGATTGAATGGAGGCTATCATATGAAAAACTTGATTTCAATGGCCAGAAGCTAATTTTACGCCCATTGAAGAAACTTTATGCTGCCATTCAACCCCCCCCCCCCCTCTCTCTCTCACCTTCTCTTTGGTTCACCCCCAACAGTTTCCTTTCTCCTCTCTCCCCTTCCCCTGAATAGAATTTTGTTTTTGTTGATCTGTCCGTACACCTCCGTTATCATTTCCCATAGTCTGGCCCTTTTTAAAGTAGATTTTCTATATATAAATAAAATGCCAAACCGGAGTTTTCCTAGCCATCGATACATACTGAATGCATACATTTTACATGAACAAAGTGGCATACACTTGATAGCAAACAAAAGAATAGGAGCAACACCAAGAGGGGGAAAACGTTCTGTTTTACGTCTTGGATGGTTTTATCGATCAATTGCTTTGCTGGCAACAGAGCAATCACCCCCAACAAAAACGTTGTACAAACGCACAGTTTGAATATCACTCGTCATTACATGCAACCATTTCACCATTTAGAAATGGGTATATAAGCATATAGAAATGCAAATCTTTAACCCATCTTTCTTTTCTTCTCTTCTTCTCCTTGTTCTTTTTGGTCAAATCAGTCAAAATGCAACAACAGCACAACCAAGCCTATTCTTCGGCATTATTCCTGTGTGATGAACCACAGCCCATCCAATACTACAGCAATTCTTTACCTGTCAACCAACACCAGCAAATCAAGAATTATGATCTGAGTCTATTGCAACAGCCTCTCTTACTGACTTCACTACCACTCAGCAACTATGCTTGTGGTGATGTGTTTGACTACTCTACGTTGGACCTATTTAATACATCTATCCATGCAAACAACAATTTCCCATTTGCTAGCACTACATCTACTGCTGGTCCTGCGTCATACACATCCACAACAAACATCCATCACGGTGCAACCACAGTGTCTCCTCCGCCGTCGTCTGCTTCCAACTGTAGCTATTTTGAAGGCGAAGGCTCTCTTAGCCCCGTTTTGTATACATCAAATGCAATGCCACCTTATCATAGTGGTGATGAGGGCCCTGAATGGGGTCAGCAGCATCATCAACATCTCTATGAAACGAAACGTGGTAGAAAAAGAAAGAATCCAGCTGATACCACTAGTAAAAGAAAGAGACATCACATTCAACATATGCCCTCCCACACTACCTCTGCTAAAGGAAACGGCACTACTCGATGTACCAACTGTCGTACTGGCAATACACCTCTGTGGCGACGAAACCCTCAAGGACAACCCCTCTGCAATGCTTGTGGATTGTTTCTCAAGTTACACGGCACGGTTAGACCACTCAGTCTCAAGACTGACATTATCAAGAAGCGTAACCGTTCTGGGTCCCAGAAAGAGAGCACTACTAATACTGCTACAAGCACGGGTACGAATGATGAAGATGGCCATGCACTTCTTAAATCCACTGCTGCCTCTCATCGCAAACGACGCACATCAGCAAGCGCAAAGCATAAGCAAGATACAGACTCTGTAGCCTCATTATCGTCCTTGTCATCACTGTCTGATCTGCATGAGGAAGACGAATCGTATTTCTGTAGCGACATTGCTACAGCAGAAGTGGAAAACCACCCGCAAAACAATGAACTACTCCTGGTGGACACTGTGTTCTTGGGAACAGGAGGAAGCGACATTGATGCGTTTATCCATGGCAATAGCGCACATGATTTCGAGTGCATTACAAACAATCCAACCGCTAATACATATGATTTCTTTTTATAAATACCATCCGCCATTGTACAAAGCCTACTACTACTTTTTTTTTTTACATAATTAATTGCACCCATTCCATCCTCTCTTTCCGTATACATATCACGACAGTCGTTCCCTTTTTTTCTTTAATAATATGAATAAATAAATATATATATATACACACACACACACACACACACACACACACACACACACACGTTACTCCTAACTGATCATGTAAACAGTGGAATAAGGTAGCCTCCTCAAAAAAAAAAATCACGGAAATCCACAGTATATGGAAGGTGGATTTGTATCATAACTTTCTCTACATATTGTGCCCGTAGTGCAGTTCCTTGAAATCCATTGACCAAACACACATTGAGAAAATGAAAATTCTCCACTGCACATGAAAACGCCATCCTTTTCACATGCGTCTCCGGCAATTGGCAAAGGAAGCGTAGGAAACATGGTAGGTAAACTGACGACATCAGAACTGGATGCTGGTAAAGTGGTTGGCAGCAATGTCACTGTGGATGTAATGGCAGCAAACGTCGTAGTGGCATTATGACAGGATGTGATTGGCAAGATTTGCAAGCTGGAAACAGTACTAGTATACATACAATGCTTAGGAATGAACGTGTGCAAGTATTTGTTTGTATGGAAATACCTCTCTAATTGTGTTGAATTGGATTCAATAGTGCTTGTCCACATAGTGCTACTGGTTACATTCTCAATAATACAATCAACGGAAGGCGTGATGGATTCAGCGGCTGTAAGAGTGGCAATGGGTAGTACAAATGTGCTTGATGGTGGTGGTACTACCTCTGTTGTCGTATCACTTGGCATCACTCTTCTCGTGTTCACGATGATAGGAGCAAGCTCGATAGGCGATGTATCATTTGTACTATGCAACATGTTATCAGTATCTGGTATCTATCCGTCTGTATCCTTTGCTTACTCTTTAATCAGTCGATATATACCGTACGCGTAGTTAGGCAATACATCTTGCTTGTTGCCATACGCTTGAGAAGCATCCCACACCATGATACCACCAAATGAATTCATCGATTTGAGAGGCTGAATTTGACTTGCGAGTTGCGTATAAGGTACATAGCCCCTTCCCGCTGCACTAGGACTACCTGGAATACCTACAAACAGGCGCACATCTTTGTTCATTGATTTCGCCGATGCCCAAGCATCCCAAATATTGTAATTGAAGTTATTGTCGTAAATCACACTGCAAAACTATGTATGTTATTTCGTAAGCTTTTCATGACTCTGTGTGTTTGTAATGTATCATGTAATGCAGGTAATAAACATATAGACGTACATTGTTGTAAAACTGGATCCTGTTGTATATAAAAATTTAAAGCGTATCATGTGTGCATGTGTATTCAGAATGAAATGTGTAAGTGACATGGTGCATCGCATAGCTCTTTCAGGGCTCTTACATGACAAAATCAAACCAAGCCTGGTTCAGTGTGTCTCCTACAAAGTAATCTGGAAAGGGACATTGAGGAGCAGCAGCAATATAATACGGCTTGGAGGTATCCAGTCCTGTAGAGGAGAAATTGAGTTCTAGCGTCTCTTGGCCATACGAGCAACTCACCATAGTTTTGTCGCATCTTGTTGACAAATGCGGTATATCCCAATTTCTCACCGTTTTCGATATCAAGATCAAATCCATCTACAGTAGCATTGCCAAATGGACGATACGCAGTTGCATTTCGCTTGTATCCGCCGCCAAATGTATCCCATAATTCGTCTGCTAAATCTTCTCCTTCTTTCACGGTTCCAACGCCATATGCTGGTGTAGCTCCTCCCATAGACAAGAGAATCTTGATACCCTGACTCTGACAGTAATTGATATCTAGCCAGGGACATTAATCGCCATGTTCATCAGGGAGATCCCTATTTCGCACTTACCTTCTTCCATGTTGGGGCAGTTCAATAATTGCGTACCTGGTATCCATGGTTACATGTATGTACTTGTCTGTTATGCTTTATTTACAAGACTTACCAGGGATCAATCCCCTGCAATCTTGGCTGCTGTTTGCTAAATCGAATGCGGTTGATCTTCCTTGCCCTGATATGTTCGTTGTGTGTAAAATTGTTCGTTTCTTTTTTTGAGATTATTTCCGGAAAGATTTACTATAAACGGACATACCGAATTGATGCAGAAAAGAGATAACGATGATATCCTTGTCATTGCTATCGCAGTAATACGACAGACGCTAAAGAGAATGTTATTTTCTGATCTATACTTGGCAATCGGAATGTGTTACTTTCTGCCATAGTGAATGAGTGGGATCATTGGGCGCTACACTAGCTGAATTTTGACCCCTAACATGTGATGGTATTTCAGATCTATACCATTGGATTCAGGAACACAAGTAGCAATTTACCAGTAGTATATAATATTTGTATTGGATGTAGCATTGAATGCACATTGGACATGACTGAACGCCAGCGTCAGAAGAAGGATGATGAAAAAGTACATGTTGCAAAATAGTGGCAATACGCATACACTCTCAGTCTTTTATACTCGTATATAAAATGATCCGATCATTCCCAATGTTATCGTAAAAGGAACTATGTACATGTTGGTGTTTATTAACTGCAATTTTTTTTTTATTTAAATAAGCAACTAGACAGGAATTTAAGCCTGAGCCTCAGCAGCCTTACGGGGACCACGAGGACCACGGTTGTTGCGAGGAGTGAAAGCAGCAACAGGAGCAGTAACCTTAACACCGGGAAGGTTCTCAAAGTTGATAGCCTTGAGCAAAGCCTATGATGAAACAGAAGAGCGTTAGGTTCATGTGTTGTGTAAGATCTTGACACCTCAAAGAACAAAATAGGTCTTTGAAACGAAATGGCCATCGAAAGATCTCCACCGACACACGAACTTTTTCAACATGTTGTCCCCTCTCCAATCCTTCTTGTTCCGTATCATATGAAATGAGGATGAATCATTTCTTCAATGTTTCGACATCACACAAAGAATAGATTCCTAAAAACAAAGATATCTTTTCTCCCCTTGCCCATCAACATAGAACCAACATTTACAAGTACAACAACAAGACAAGGAAAAAAGAGTGGAAACAGACTGAAAAAATCCGAGCGACCAACTTTCTGTTTCCAAAAGGTGTATAAAGGGAAAAAGAAACTTACCTCGGTCTCGGGATCAACCTCAATATTGGAGGTATCCAAAGCAGAGAATTCGGGAACGTAGTTATCACGACGTTCACGTTCTTCTTCTTGCAACTTGAAAGAAATACCACGAACGGGACCGCGAGAAATACGCTTCATCAAGTGAGTAGTGAAACCAGCAATCTTGTTACGGAGACGCTTGGATTGAATGATGGAAACTTCATCGAGGATCTTCTTGTTGACTTGGAAGTCAAGAGTAAGACGAGGATAGTACTTTTCAATGACAACACGAGAAGCCTTCTTGACAGTCTTAGTTCTAACGCGACCCTATAGGGCTGTTAGTATCAGATGGATGGATGGATGGATGTACTTGAGCTTACCATTTTTTATGATATTAAATTTAAAGAGAAAGATATATTAGGCAGTGGTGTCAAAATTCTCTTTTATTTCACCTCCACTCTCCGGAGTAGCTAATTTCGTGCAAGCCACTACTCCATAGTAACCTCCATTGTCATGCTGAATCCAAATTCAGGCACTGTGCATTATACAGTGCTTCCATCCCCAATTTACTGATTTTTTGAAAACATTGCCCACCTTTTTGTAAAATTTTGCGCATTTGTGCGAGGCTAAATTGCCCAGAAATAGGAAACTAGTTTGGCCGGATGTTTGGAGCTAATTTGCCAAGCTTTTAGAAAGTAAATTGACCATTTTTTTTTTCAATTACATTGACCAACATTTTGAGGTTTTTCTTTTCACTGCTAATTTTAATATGAATTTCTTTCACGAAGATGGTAGAGGCGGCATCCTAGATGAGTCTGGCCAAGAAGCCTCTGCTTTTGTTGTAGAATCATCGTTTCGCTTAAAAAAATTTAACAAACCTTCACAAATACGTGAAGAACAAACCAGTAACCGTAGATGTTGAAGAGTCAAAAGACACTGAAATGACAGAAGCAGCACCCAAAAAAGAGCGAACATCAGCATACAACATCTATTCGGATGAAGATCGGAGATGTTACTTTTATTTCATTCAACAGAAACTTATGAAGCCTTCTGAGGCAGCCAAGGCAGCCAATGTCAATTATGAAACTGCAAGAAAATGGAAGGCGGCATACAATAAAGACCCAGAAAAGAACATCCCTCTCAAAAAAAAAAAAAAAAACGCACACCAAGTAGCAAACCTGTAAGCAGGCTGAACGACCAGCACAAGGCACATTTGATCAACTACTTTGATGAGAATCCATCCGCCATCATAAAGGACGCAGTTGAAGATCTGATACAGAGCTCTGAAGGTTTGGATATCAAGAAAAGCCGAGTCGCTGAATTCATGAAAGAGGAATGCAACCTAAGCATCAAAGTTGTTACTCGACATCCTGTAGCAAGAAACAGCAAAGTAACCCTGGAAGCCCGCGTCCAGTTTGTGAAGGAATGGATACAAGAAAAAGGCATGCTGTACATGCAAAATTGTGTATTTCTGGATGAATCAGGCTTTGATATAAACATGCGCAGATCTAGGGCTTGGTCAGCGCGTGGCACGCAGGCAGTCATAGAATCACCATCAGCGAGGGCAGTGTCTCATACAGTCATTGGCGCCGTCTCTGCAATTGGCGTTGTAAATGTGAGCCTAAGAGATCCAGGAAATGTCAAAGAAAGAAAGGTTGTGGGTGCTAAGAAACGAAAAGCACCTGGAAACAATGGATCTGCTATACCAAAAGGAACTACATCTGGCCATTGCCTTCAGTTCATCAGCGATACCTTAGACATTATGGATGAGTTTCCCAACATGAAGGGTTATCACATCGTTATGGACAATGTCCCAATTCATAGCCCTGCTATTGTTGATCCTGTAATTGTCGAGCGAGGATATATACCTGTATACCTTCCACCTTATTCCCCTGAACTCAAACCCATTGAGATGTTTTGGAAAGTTCTGAAGGATAGAGTCAGAAGAGGCAAGCTAAATAATGTAGAAACCCTCACTTCAAGAATCATTGAAGGTAGTGAAGACATTCCAGTCGAACATTTGCAACATTTTATCCAGCATTCCATCGATTGCTTCCCTAAATGTTTGAATAAAGAACCTTTGCAATTTATTTGACCAGAAATTGGTTAACTATTTCATAGAATGTGGTCAATGTATCTTCTTATAAGTGGTCAAATTAACTTCAAACATCCGGCCAAACTAGCCTCCCATCTCTGGGCAATTTAGCCTCGCACAAATGCGCAAAATTTTACAAAAAAGTGGGCGGTGTTTTCAAAAAATCAGTAAATTGGGGGTGGAAGCACTGTATCTTTCAAATGGCTTCATAAAGACCAAGATGCAATTGACAAAGAGACATGGATCCAGTAGAGACATATTTGAAAAAGGCCATATCCTTACAGCTAAATTCCTATCGATCTACATCACTTACTATATCAATTCAGATTGTGTAGCATAGGGCAATGTAGTGTTGTAATAACGTGATTTGGCTGCCAAATCAGTACAGTTTGATTCAATAATGGTAATTTTTGCTCACAAAGTATTATGTTTGTTAGTGAATGTTCAGATTACTTGAATTATTACGGGTGTTACTAGCAAACTGTTGCCGGGTAGCATTATTCATGCTTGGAACCCACTCATGAATGCTCAATGGGTTATCATTTATCTAATGTTGCACCAGAGCAAGTTATCGCCTTGCAGAGGACCTACACATTTCCCGCAAAATACAGCAGGACTTATCATGTTTATAGCCTTTTTGCCTCACAGTAACAAGTTTCTCGGTGGCAATGTACTCTATGCAGTCAAATTCACCAAATCTACAAGCTGTTCCAGATGTCGAACATGGCAACCAACAGCTGCTCTTTTTCCAATAGCTACTTGTCCTTGTGTGTTCCTCTCAAACCATCTCAGTTACACACCAAGGAAGAATGACGATCGGCTTTTTTCCACAAGATGTAGTACAACGTAAAGCAAATTAATTTAAGCATTAATGCTTAACAATCTCTGATAACGTCCTACAATGCATCACAGCCTTACAAGAAAGGAGCATAAAGTACCATTTTCAGTTAAAATAAATCAAATAAAGCAATAGTGTTTGAATATAGTAATTACATCGATTAAGCTGTCAAATCCAACATTTCATTTTCATATAAAAGGGTGTCTTTCGATGCCTCCAGTTCTCATTCAAATCAAACCAACTCTTTCCTCTCCCTTCTTCCCTGCTCATTCTTTCAAATGAAATTCTCCTTAGTCTCTTCTTGTGTCGCTCTGGTTGTCATGACTCTGGCAGTCGATGCTGCTCCCAGTGGTAGCAAGAAGCTTTCCATTCCTTTGGCCAAGAACGACAATTACAAACCCGATATTAAGCGTTCCCTTGCTAAGGTTCGTGCAAAGTACCTGAAGCACATCATCAACCCTCTCCATGGTGCTCCCGGTAATGCCACTACAGATGGTGGCAACACTATTGATGGTACTGGCTCCGTTCCTGTTACTGATTATGAAAATGACGTTGAATACTATGGTATTGTCAAGGTCGGTACTCCTGCTCAATCTCTCAAGATCGACTTTGATACTGGTTCCTCGGATTTCTGGTTTGGTAAGGCAAATAAATGCACTAGAGATTTCATTTTCTAACACCAAATATAATGCTAGCTTCCACTTTGTGTTCTAGCTGTACCGCTCACACTCGTTACAATCCTAGCAAGTCCACCACCTATGCTCCAGATGGTCGCCCTTGGTCCATTCGCTACGCTGATGGTTCCACTGCTGGTGGTGTCTTGGCTAAGGATACTGTCAATGTAGGCGGTCTTGTTATTAAGGGCCAAACTATCAATTTGGCCAAGACATTATCTAGCAGTTTCGCTAGTGGCCCTGTTGATGGCCTCATGGGTCTCGGTTTTGACACCATTACCACTGTCGCTGGCATCAAGACTCCTGTTGATAACTTGATCAGCCAAGGTCTGATCTCTTCTCCTGTCTTTGGTGTCTGGCTCGGTAAGGCTAGCAATGGTGGTGGTGGTGAGTACTTGTTTGGTGGTTCCAACCCCAAACATTACACTGGTTCCTTGACTACTGTCCCTGTTGATAACTCTCAAGGCTGGTACAGTATCACTGTTGATGGTCTCAGTGCTGGCAACACTCCTGTTTCTGACTCCTTCACTGGTATTTTGGACACTGGTACCACTCTTTTGCTCCTCCCCAAGACCATTTCTGACCAGGTTGCTTCTCAATATGATGCTACTGATAATGGCGATGGTACTTATCTTATCAACTGTGATACTACCAACTTTGAGCCTCTTGAATTCTCCATCAGTGGTGCTCAATTTGAGGTTTCCGTCGAATCCCTCATCTTCCAACAAAGTGGTTCCTACTGCTATGCAAGCTTCGGTTATTCTCCCGGTATTGACTTTGCCATTCTGGGTGATGTCTTCTTGAAGAACAACTATGTTATCTTTAACCAAAAGGTTCCTGAAGTCCAAATCGCCAAAGCCCGTTAAATTGCCTCAGTCGTTGGCTAATGAGTTAAATTTTGCTTATCTTTAACTATTTTCAATAAATTACACAACAGTAGTTTGTTATAAAATTACTCAATGCACACTTGTTCAATGTTAATGTCGCACACGTGCGTTTGCTACTCTTGGTTATATTCTCCAGAAAAAGTTAAAAGCAAACAGGCTCCTATGTGTATAATATTAAAAAGTGCAGTGCAACGTAATGTACCGTTGTTTGTATTAAGATAGCTGCGTTTGTATTGATCAGGGTTCTTGCTAGATCGAGTAATTCAATGGACTTTGTTACTGCTGACAAAGCGCAATTCGCTATTGATTCTTTGGATAGCCTGTTATCATTTGAGGCTAGTTTAAAGAATGGTTATGTTACACTAGATTGGTTTGGTTCGCCTCTGGTGCATTTCAGTACCATTCAAGGCTCCACCAACTGTAGATTTCCAATAAACACGTGTATTTCTATCAAGATGCAAGTCAAGAGTATGCAGCTGTCCGTAGATATTGAAACCAGGCTATGAAACTGAGCACACCTTACAAGAAAGGGGAGGGGAATAAGCTGCTTTGCAGCAAAATCGAGAGTATTTGTTCAGGTTGGTCTCCACTAAAATCAGTTACAAACCGTAAAAAGAGCAAAAACGATGTCCAAAATCTCTATCTATCAAATTGATGCAATTTCATCCATATTTCATAGCAAGGTAGTCATTGCATAGCGGCAAGAGACCATATCACAGCCAAATTTAGCTATATTCTGGCACTGATTTCTCGCGGTACAGGCTGTTCTGGATCGACAAAGTGGCACAAAATGATTGTATGCAATTAGCAGTTACTTCCTGATGTTTTAGCTCAATTTTTTTTTGGGTCATGACAAATCGATGAAAATCTTCGTTTTTTCATGAGTAGTAGCAAGGGATAATTCCCAAAAATCAAACAATCGCATTTTTCACCCCCCAAAAACGATGCTTTTTCCTATGATGTATACTATATCAAAATGATCCTAACAGTTCAACGCAACATGAGACATTGCGTTGGTAGGACCTTTACATGTAAAATCTCGACATTTTGGCAGAAAATGCCTTTTTGTATTTTCAAGGTTTACTCGAAATTTTTATTCAAAAAGTTGAATGTAATTAGCACCATTAGATGCGGCTTGAATAGTTCTCCATGAATGTATTAAGAAGCAAGGTACAAAGCTCACGACTTATATAGTCGAATTTGGCAAAAACATTTAAGGGATGTCAAATCAAGTCGGATTTGACGACGAAAATCGTCTCTGCGAAAAACAGCTTTAAACGCCGCCGGTTTTATATAAGCATGCCTTGAATCTTGCGAGCATAATGTCTGACATCTGCCAACCATCATCATCTCTAATATATTTACCAGAAAACTATTTAAAAAAATGTCGGAATGATCAGTCAGAGATCAGAGACGTAAAAAATTTAAAGCACTGAGTACCGTACAAGGCTCGAAAAAACCACTGGCGAAGCTGGCACTGGGGAGGGAGACTTGGTATCTAATTCAACATTTGGTAACGTTGACCTATAAGGAGGTTTTACCCCAGCGAAGCGAAGGTGCAAAACCATAGTATTCAAGCAGCAAATTCAATTTTTTAATTCCATTATTAATAGGCTTGTCAACAACATAACGCATCAAAATGTGCATGAATTAGCTTTACCAAAATCAATATACCTTTTATTCACTTAGGATTGCACTGGCCGCAGAAATGCCCTTCCTCCAGAAGATTTCAGCTACCAAGGATGCGCTTCATGCCGTGTAAATAAAAGCTATAAAGCAAAACATAACCAAATTTGACAGCTTTCAAGCCTTCATATCTTGACATGTAGACCTTCCTAAGCAGTCGTAATACGCTAAACAATTGTACTTAAGTAGCACTAACTTTTTAACACTTTTGCTCAATTTTTTGGGCCAAAAAAAACATGGCCAAAAATCGACCAAAAAGCATGAGGTAACCCTCATGGTTTTCATCGAAAAAAAAAAAACGAAATTTTTGGTCAAACGGGGTGATTCCCTAGTTTTGTGCGGTAGTGGCGCACATTATGGTCTCTCCCATCTCGATAGTTGACAGAGTACATAGTCGCTATGTTTTTCCCTTACCAAGGTTTTTTCAACATAGAAGAATAACGTCAGGAGTAGCCAGGGTATGTGATTTATCACATATACCGAGTCTCTTCTGCTCTCAACTGTGGATGATGGGTTTCACTGACGTGAACGTTTGCTTTGTTGATTGGTGTGGTTCTGATTGCTCTCTCTCTCTTGCTTGCGGCTTCGGTCGAGTATCTTTGTTCTCTCGCGATAACTATCTGATCAAGTGCTGACAGTACTATCCTTAGTCAAATATCTCCTGGGCTCTTCTCGTGAGAACACACTCTTTACCCCAGTGACAATTCAAATTAGTAGTCATGCCCTTCTTGTCCCTCTTGTGCACACACTTATAGACTAGTCGTTTTAGGTAGAATAGTCTTTTGGTAGCATGTTAATAATATAATAAATATGAGTGGTAGCCTGCCTTCCTCCATAAAAAAAAATAAAAAAAAAAATTTTTTTTCATCGAAAATCAAACGATCGCGGTTTTCACCTCGAAAATGAAGACTTTTACTATGGTATATCTTGAATCAAAATGTTTCTATAGACCCAAAGCAACCTTTTAAATCATCTTTGTGGGACTTTGATATGTAAAATTTCGACTTTTTGGCCAGAAACCTCTTTTCATATTTTCATAAATCATTCAATAAGTTTATTCAAAACATCTATCTTACTTGGTACCATTGGATGCGCCTTAAAAAGTACTTCAAGAATGTATTAGGAAGCGTAGGGTGATCATCATAGCTTTTATAGTCGAATATTACAAAATAAACTAAAGAAGTCGAAAAAAGTCCAATCTTGAACAGAAAAAAATTAACTGAGTTTGAATCAATTTTGGCGGTGGCATTACTGCTGGCTGACCCAAATGCCTTTCTGATGATGGCAATGATGATGACAATGATGGTTGCGCTGCTGATCAAATGGGGATCATGGATTCTAAAGGACAATTGCTTACCTCAAATACTTTTTTCTTTCTTGGGAGGCTTTCCCTATAATAAAGGTGTCTTTTGCAATGACAATATCTCAAAAAAGTCGCTGTAGACCTTACGCAAGTCATGTATTTACTTATGACCAGCTTTATACCGCCATTATTTAAGTAATTAATAAGACTCAAACATTTTATCAGTAATCAAAATTTTGTATCATCAAATCTAGCTTAAATGGCGAGAAACGCTCGCGAGTCTCACGTTACGATGGATTCCAATGCATACCAACAGAAAACCAGAAACAGATAGCACAAGCAAAGGACCGTAGGCATTACGCTCACATGTACCATCTGCAGCCATTCTCAGTATGTATTTCTCTTCTCTCCATCCTTTCTCGTTCATTTACATTCTTTGTCTGCGTAGCATCAACACTATCTAAAGCCATTTCTTAGTTCTCGTCATATTTTTGTGTCTTGACAGCTCTTATTTATAACCAAATCTATAAAGCACTACTCTTGTTACAGTATATATTGATCTGGTTAATCGCCGTGCCATTACAAACGCTCACATTTTTCTTGTCTAGTTGTTTTTCTATGTCAAATGTCTAGTGTGCGAACAAAAGTAGAGCAAAGAGATCCGTTTACTGGCACTCAAACCAGTCGTCCTCCCCAAAGAAGAGTCGTTACTAAAGGAAAAAAAAGAGAATATGAAGCTGTAACATCCACAAATGCCATGTCCATATCAAGTTATCAGTCTGTTGTCAAAAGGCCCAAGACATTTGGTGTCTCGCCGCAGCGATTGATGGATAGCTTTTTTCAATCAATGAGGGAAATCGTCGAAAACAAAGCAAGGCCCATCATTGACAAGGCTAGTAAATTGGATGCACTCAAGAAGACATTACTCTCGGTGAAGAGGCTCCCCCCTAGGTGTCATCGCTACTGACGAAAAGATCTGTCAATGTGCCAAAGATGAATTGAAAAATCATCTTGAACACCTTGGTACTAAGCAAAGCTTTCAGTACTTTCAAGAGTACGTCAGGAATCATTTCGATGCTATTGTGCTATCTTTACAGCTTCAGGCTTCTATGTCTACATCCACTGGTGAAAGTGCATCCATCGCAGCTACACCGGTTATTACTCTTTCTGACTCTGTAGCGTTCCTTCGCCGCGACCTCTCTGGCATGGACATGGTATCCGACATGTCTTCTGTGTCTGGCACCCCTTCACAGGCAGCAATGTCTTCAATCTCGCATAATCCCTCTGATATATCCATGGTTGAAGCTCCCCCCAGACAATGTAGAATACCGCACTTGTATTGTGTCTTTCAAGAGCCTTTTACGAAAGGATGTGCCTTCCGATCTTGTCGAGTCATTTTTGCAGAAGCTAAATACTGCATTGCATGATGTATCTGACTACGTTGTGGAATTTCAATTGGTGGTATATACATTGATGCTCTCAATGAAGTCCTCGCAGCTCTTAGCTTGTAGTGGTAATAGATTCTCTCCTCTCACCCATCTCGGTGCTGATGAAGGCAATTTGACTGATAGTACTGGTACTGCTGCTGGTAACGATGGCAATGGTGTTGATCAAGTTATTACGAGCGATGCTATTGACAAGGATGAACTTCGTGATGGCAGTGTTAAATGCGATGGAGATCTCAATGGTGATGATGACGACGCCAGTGCTACTGCTAATGATCGTGGTCAGACAACAACATTTGAGCCTCTGCCAGAGCCATACAAGATGCGTGCTGAAGATGTCGACTTTGGTTCTGACCAATTTAGGAAGCGAAAGATCACTTTGAAAGACAAGAAAACAACAGAAGAAGGAAAGAAGGTTCAAGAGATTGAGCAGCAATTGCCGAGGTCCAGTGTGTTCAGAGCCAAAGAGGTAGAAGATGTCATGTCAAATCTTGATGCACACAGAAGCAATGGCCCAGCATTGCGAGCGTTCGATCACTCAAAGAAGCAGAATACTCTCTCTCTCTCCAACAGGGTTGAGCACATTGGCAGGCGTTTCCGTTCGCGTTTCGCTTCACGTGAAAGATCCTTTTGTGCTGGTATTCGTCCCCAAACGTCACTTACAATGTTCATTGGAGATCGTGGTCTTTGTGTCGGCTCTCGTTTGAAGGGTCATTTGAAGTATGGTGGAAAATGGAAGCCTCGCTTACATTCATCTGTTACCACTGTGCATACTACCAACGAACGCAAGACATCCCAGACGTGCATGTACTGCTTTGGTCCCACCTCTCATCCCACACAAACCATCAAAGCAAAGGAGGGTAAGACCAAGACGAGGTCCATTCATGGTGCATTCCTGTGCTTAAATCCTGCCTGTGTGTCCGTTCTCAATCACAGAGCCATTCAAGGTAGAGACAAGACATCTGCTTTGGCCATCGCTGTCTCTGGGCTTTCCACTCTCTTATTCAGGCAGCCATTGCCTGTATTCAACCCAAAACCCAGTCAATCCAACACTGACATTATCTCCAAGACCACCTCTTTCTGCAACAGAAACGAGAAACGGGACGGCAGCGGTGCTGCATTAACGGACGCTTGAGTTTTCAAGGTAACAATGTGCTCAATCTGGCTTATTCAAGAGACTGCTCTTTACTAATTTGTCATTTATTATACTCGCAAGGTTCAAGTTTTCGTTTATATAATGTATCTCTGACCACACGGATCTACACATACGCAACGGTTTTGGTAACTAGTGACAGGAGGATAATGAATCAAAGTGCTTTAACGGATAGACCCAGAGGTAAATCATGCTCTCCAGGGAGCTTATATACAGGTGGGTCCACTTTACGTGAGGAAACACTGTGACATGCCATCCGTACTGCAAATTTAGTTGTTGACAACATTTAGACATTTAGCTGAGCCTCTCAGCAGTTTCAATGTGCTATAAAACTTGTATCCAATCTGTTTATTAGAACTAGGTTGGCTCGAATAGAGTTGCTTCACCAGAAGCTTTAATCAACCCTTGACCAGAGACCAAATTGCTATTGCCATTTTGGGATAATGCATTAGTGGCCTCTACATCCCAATTGCCTGCCACAAAACTTTTTCTTTCTCTTTTTATTTTCTGCTTTTCTCATACTTTATCATGTCTTTTGATATACCTGGGTATTTCCTGGACCTCAAGACCAAAAAGTACTTTAAAATCACACCCCATGGTCCTTATAGCCTGCCTGAACTTCGCAAACGATTAAAACGAGAAGAAGAAGAAGAGAGACAAGCAGCGGCATTGGCCTTGGCTTCCAAACGTATCAACGCAAATCACATCAGTAGTCAGCATCGGAAACCCACTCATTTCAGCCAATTCCTTCGACAGAGAGCTACGCTTAGTGCCATGGATCGTATGGATAGTGGAATGCGGTTTTTATTGACTCGATTAAAGACAAGATCGAGTGTCCATCTGCATGGACCCAGCAGCATTTACAACAATATGCTTGTAGCCATGACACCCCATCATGCGGACGACTATGGAGAGATGTTTATATCAAATCGATGCAGTTTACAGCATTTTGGATATCAAGTGGACCCTCAGTTCAGTTTGTGGAAAGTAGGGCAGGAATTGACGGATAATTCAGATGCTCAATCCATGCATGTGGGATATCGGTTATTTGACATGAATGGATACCCATGCAGATCAGTAATCGGCACAACTGGAGGATTGTTGTGGTTCCGTGCGTTTCCCGTGCTACCTCCGTTGCATAGGGAAGAAGTGCAGCATATGTTTATGCAGAATGGATCCATACGACAGCAAGGCCGAATTTACGAATGCCCTGGATCTTACGCTGGACACTGTATATCGCTCTCATTACAAGAATATGCACAAGCAAAGGACTTGTTTTGGTCCTCGGATGTAGATGATCAACATGACACCATTGTGGTGGGCGGCGACAAGAAGATCTATCAACTCAACAATACCTTTCATCTGAAGCAATCCAGAAAGATGAAATCATCCGTCTTTGCATGCCATATTCCCAAGTCGCAACCTGATCACTGCTGGATTGGATTACGGAATGGAAAGGTTCACATGGTGGATTGGAGAAGCCCAATGACACCGAGAGACAAAGCGAGCCAGCACGATTTTACACAATCCTCCTCCGTATACAAAATTCAAACGCTAGATAATGTGAGGACAGGACATGAATTGGTGACACTTGCCATGGATGGATCCATCGATGTATGGGATGCTCGACAACCCATCAAAAAGAGGAAATCGAAAAGATCTGGCCCGCTTTACTCTTTGAAGGGACATGTCAATGCAAGCAGTCGCCACTTGGGATTCGACATTGACACAGAGAACCAGCTGCTGGTGGCCGCTGGAAGCGATCATTGTGTGCGCATCTGGTCTCTACAACGGCGCAACAATGCATTTGATCCCATGTGGACTTCTGAAAAGTACCAAGCACCCATACCCGCTGTCAAATTCATGACAGCTGCAAATACATACCCAAAATTGCAAGACGGTTGGTCTAATCTAGTACCAGATTCTCTGCTCTCAAGGAAGCCTCCTGGTATCATGCTCTTTGGCACAAGCAAAGAATCGAATCAAGTGCGATCTATTGAATGGATGACATCTGTCAAGTAAATTATGTAAATATGTGTAGTATATGGAAACTATAAAAAAGACAACTGTTTATTTGATTTTGATAATGAAAACACAACATGAATGAAGACTATATTAATATGAAGGGGATGTGAGGGAAAAAAAAAAAAAAACTATAAATTATAAACGACTAGCAAATGGATCTTGATCTTTCATTTGTTGCTCAAGATCAATCTCTTGGAATTGATCATTATCACTTGTGTTGGTAGACTCAAACACAGAAGGACTGCGGTCCAACAGCTTGTCCAAATCTTCATCCGAGATGACCTTATCGCCTTCAGCTACAATCTGTATCTGTTCTCCATCCGCAGAAGCCAGGATATCAGCCAATTCACGCACTGTCGTTTCTCTCACCTTGTTCACCGGTGATTTGAACTTGCCTTGGCTGATGACCAATTTCTCCAGTCTACGCTTACCAGTGGCCCTTTCCAACATCTTTGCTTCTACGGTCTTGGCTGCAACGAGACGATAGACAAGAACAGGCTTGGTTTGACCAATACGATGAACACGATCTTGTGCTTGCAGATCCATTTGAGGGTTCTACGTGTACTAGGTCAGTGGAAAGAAACACACAATAGCAAGAAGCATTTTACTTACCCAATCGCTGTCAAAGATTACCACGGTATCAGCAGCTGTCAGATTGATACCTAAACCACCTGCACGAGTAGAAAGTAAAAAGAGCTTGATCTTTGAGTTGGGCTTGCTGAATTCTGCAATTTGATCACGACGCTCTTCTTGTGACACAGACCCATCTAGACGACACACGGGCCAATGCTTTAGATCCGTAGCCCAATCTTCCAAGATATTCAACATCTTTGTCATTTGAGAAAACACCAAGACCTTGTGTCCACGGTCAAACAAGCCCGTCAAGAGGCGATCCAGCAAAAGAACTTTACCAGATTGAGCAGCCAATTCGTTGCTAATCAGCGGTTGATCCGTCTTGGGATCCAGTGGCCAGTCAAATAAGAAGGGATGGTTACACACTTTGCGAAGTTGCATGACCAAATTCTGCAAATGCATATTGTTGATCTGTTTGACAGCATTCACCCTCTTTTCGCGTCTGGCAATGGCTTTGTGATCAATTTCTTCCTCTTCTTCAGGCTCCTTTTCCAGGCTTTTGAAAAACTCGGTGTTGGATTTCTCCTTATAGTTGATACTGATCTTTTTCGACTTTCTGGTATTGTCGCTGGATTCTGCTGCTTCGTCGTCGTCGTCGTCTTCGTCTTCGGGATCGGCGATCTTCTTTTTGATGAGGTAATCACGGACATCACGCTTGATGATAGCATCGTAGAGGTCCTTTTGTGGTTGAGTGAGAGGAGCGTACAAGAGATACTCTTTCTTCTTGGGCAGCGAGCTCTCTACATCGGTCTTGAGTCTTCGCAGCAAAAAGGGGCGAAGAATGGTATGTAAACTAGACACGATATTGTCCTCCTCTTCTTCCCTCATGATACGCTCTTGACCCTCCTTTGCATTGATGTCAGAAAAGTCAAACCTAGCCAGTTACACAAATCAGTTCTGTCGTTCATCCGCGCAGTAAAAAAGGAACTTACCAAGACTGAAACATATCGAGATCATCAAAGATATCAGGCAACAGAAAATTCAACAGACTCCACAATTCAGAGAGGTTGTTTTGAAGAGGCGTACCAGACAACAAGAGACGGTTCGCGCTAGAATAGCTCTTGAGCTCTCTGATCAACTTGCAGTTCATGTTCTTGAGACGATGGCCCTCATCAATGACAATGTATTTCCAATTGTATTTCTGCAGCACCTTGCGGTCATTCATGACAATCTCATAACTGGTGATAATGACAGGAAATGCGTCCGAAGTCTCCTTGAGCTTCTTTAGCTTGTGATTCACCATGTGTTGACGTTCCTCCTTGGTGCCATGGTATAGTAAGACGTTGATGGAGGGAGCAAATCGCCTGAATTCAATGACCCAATTCGCCAGAGTAGACAAGGGCGCTGCAATCAGATAAGGACCACCGACTTTCATTGCCTTGAGATGAGCAATGAAACCGATAGTTTGCAGTGTTTTGCCCAAACCCATCTCATCCGCTAAAATACCGTTCAAACCATTCTCCCACAGACTAATCAACCATTCCACGCCTGCCAATTGATAATCACGCAACACGCCACCTGTCACCAGAGCGGGTTGACGAGCAGAGAAAGAAGGCTTTGTGATGGGGCCTTCCTTCAACTCCTTTTTAGCATTGGATTGTTCCTGAATAATGGCTTTGCTGACACTGCCGTTTTGCTGCTTCCGCTTTTTGACATCCTATACACATAAAATTGAGTATGAAATCATGCTGCGTAAATAGTTGTCATTTGGCATGTATAACTATACCTCTTCTTCAATGTAATCGGTCAATTGATAATCAGCATCTGTCAATTTTCTCTTCTTTAAAGATGCGTTGGCAGCAGTAGCAGCAGCTCTCTTGGAACGACCTCTACGTGCTGGCAGATGTCTTGTAGCTGTTTTTGTGGGCTGTTCAGCGGCATCTGCGACTGTTGTAGGAACAACAGCAGCGTCTAATTGGGCTCCTCTCTCGCGAGCCTCCTCTTGCTGCTTGGCTAGTTTGGTGCTCAAGATGGCTGCGTAGGCTCCTGACCTTTCCAACAGAAACTTGAGACGTTTCATACGTTGAGCCTTGATTGTTTTATCAAACTGAGCTTGTGCCTAACAATCAAATTGAGAGATGAGATGAACGCTCACTATCCACATAGTAACAACAAACCTCAGCTTTCATCAGCTCCTCCTTTTCTTGCTCGGATTGCTTTTCCATGGCCAACTCTTCATTGATGATGGATTCAGTTAAGCCAGCTTCCAAGGCTTGCTTGACCTCCTCTCCATCGCTCGACAAGGGAGATGTTTGAGCTGTAGTAGCCTATACGAAGAGAAGGTTTAGGTACACACACACACACATTTTCACATGATCAAGGCGCTCTTCTCACTTACAGATTTTGGAGTTTCAGAGCCAAGAGAACCGTCTCGGGTGGTAGGCTCAGAGAACAAGGAGGAAGGAGAGCCATGCTCACTGGACACACTTTCAGTCGACATGGATGGAGCAAGAAATTGAGGTGAGGAAAGAGAAAAAAAAAGGTATCGACTACGTAAAATCAACCTTTTTTTTGATTTTTACATTTTAAAGGAGGGACAAAAAGCCACAGCCTGTCTTGTCATTCGACATGTCTCTCACACATCTCTCATCATTATTATTTATTTGTACTTGACAGAATGTGTGAGTCCAGGCTGGTATCGGCATAGACGCTCAAGAGATGTGATCATCAACAGGACGGTGTATTCCTGCCTCTCAAATGCCTGATTTCTTGATCTAATCATTTCATCTCGTCAATGCTATTCATGATGGTCTCTTCCGCTTGATTCACCCGATGACGAGCCGTGCGATTGTCCTCTTTGTGCTGCTTTACTTGATAAAATGGGATGCTCTTGTGCTGTAGTATACCATGTTTAGCACTGATTCGATGCTCCAGACGGTAGGAATCCACAATGAGTTGAAACAGCTTTTGCTTGGTGTGTTTGATGATGCTTTGCTTGTGACCAATGGCTTCTCGTGGATCATCGTTCCTCATTTAACGTCAAGACATGTTGAAGAGACCAAAGCAGAGCAAACAATGAAAATCAGACTGGATGTGCGTTACGTATTTGTGGGTTTTTTTATTGGGGGTTTTTTTATGCGGAAAAAAAAAAAAGAGTAGTTAGATTGCGTGTGGATGAAAGTGTTAGATGTACAAACAAATTTAATAAACGGGAAAGAAACAAGGGAAGAAGGGAGGAGAGGAGAGGAGAGGGAGGAAGAAGGAAACACCCTCACATTTCCAAATGCTTAAAACAAAAAAGTGTATTCTTTCTTTTTTTATAATGATGAAAAAAAAAAAAAAAAAGGTGATTCATCCCTTGTCGACATTGTATATAAGGCGTGTAGTATAAAATTGGGTTGTGTGCGTATTGTTGTTGAGAGAAAGCTTAGAAACCGTGAACCTTGATTTCAGCCTTCTTAGCGATACCTTCGTTTACTAAGAATTCAGCCATCTTGACACGTTGATCACCTTGCATTTGGATAATTTCACCGTGCTCCTCGTCTTCAACGACTGTACCGTTACAGGCGAATGCCTTCTTTACTGCCTTCAATAAACGTTTGCTGTCAATTTCTTTGGGCAACCCTTGGAGGGTGGTCAAGGTCTTTCTGCCATTACGTTGTTGAATACGGAGATCTAATTGGTATTAGTCATAGTGTAGTGGTATGGAAACGAGTAGGATGACGATTAGATGTTGTAATTGTCGTAGTTGTTGTTGTGTAGAGTTGTATGGTGTCAATGTGTTTGTATGTATTTGTGAGTGATATAGGAATAAAAAGACACTGATGAGTCGATCACCTTCAATATATCTCTCCTTGTCATTTTACTCACGAAGGTAGTTGGTTTGAGTAACACCTTGCTCTTCTTCGACGTCGGCAAAAGGGTCTATAATTCCACTCTACTCTTTAGCGATATGTTGGATGTATGTGATACATTATAAAAATCATACCAAAGGGCTTGTTGAGGTCTTCGAGATCAGCCATGTTATATATCTGCTTAAAAAACGGATGGATGGATGTATTTAAAAGAGAAGAAAAAGGGATATTGATAGTGCATTTGGTATTATTCTTTCTATCCCGGACTTCAGTGGGAAGGTACGGTAGACCCGAAACATCAAAGCATTTGGCAAGTTTAGTGTCATTGCTGGTTTAACTTCCGAAGACTGGCGATTGTCTGAAAGTCTCATATTTCGTTGAATACATGATGGATCATGTATACATATGTATACATACACTGGGAATGTTGCATGAAATCTCCATTTTTCTTTGGAATTCATCATGAAATACATTGTATTGACGCTCTGTCTATACATGGCTCATGTGGGCTGTCAGCAGCAACAACATGAGCAACGCATGCCGGCCATTGCTTCTGTCACTGGGAGTCATGATGGCCAGTTACCGGATCAAGAAATGGCAAGTAGTCAAGAATCAGTTGTCGTAGTACCACTTTCCCATATTGACAGTAGTTTGCCGTTTGAATCATTCAAATCATTTACTTACATTCCTCCAAATGCAAATGCTAGTACTGCCATCAACAGTATGGAGCCCACTGCTACAGTAAGCCACGTGGAGCAGCCAATCCACGCAGCAGCACAAGCAATCGTTAGTCTGACTACGGCATTTACCGATGCTGCTAGCCAGAGCACGTCTACCAGCGAGAGTAGTGCGAACCAAATCAAGGCTGCATCTGCTTCCAACATCTCGCCAATGTCATCATCATCCGCATCAGACACGTCTCCTGAACAGGCAAACCCACCACAGAGCGATACTTCTGTATTAGCAACGGTCGATATAAAGGCAGATGCTCAAATTTCTCCCAAAACAAGCATGGATCAAGCTACCATTCTACCAAACAATCCAAATCCCATTCCTCCACCTGCTGACAGCGAAGCCCCCCCTCCACCAGCACCAGCACCAGCATCTCCTCCTACTCCTCCTCCTCCTCCTGCTGCTGCTGATATTGCTGCTGCTGCTATTGGTATTGGTGCTCAAGCAAACAACAAGGCCACAGTAGCAGCACCCAATGCAGCAGCCAGCGTTACGACGGTAACAGCTACAGTGACCAAATCTATTACGGAGACAGCTACAGTGACCTTGTCTTATGAAGATGCAGCTGAAAAACGTATGAAATCATGCTATCGAAAGAACAGAAAGGTACCCTTCTCGCAGTACTGGATTCCTAAAGAGAATGAATGGGATGAAACAAACAACGGCAAGCGCGTGTTTTTGGGCGGCAATGAAAAGGTAAAATTGAATGATGAACACAACCAACCTTTAGGTGAAGTTGCGGTTCAAATGTACGATAAATGCAAAATGGAGGGCACAGTAAGTGTGTTGCGTTGAGTGAATGTATAATGTGTATTGCTTATAACGCGCGTCTGGTTGCGCTGTGCTATAGTGCTTATTGGAAAATGGCGACTTGATCAACATTGATAATACTACAGACAACTTTATCAAAGTGGGTGGCCGTGGACGCGAGCATAACGTGTTTGGTCTAGGGTCTGGAGCTCAAAATTTAGTGCCATATATTAGTGTCGCTGCGAATGATCTTCCTTACGGACAAAAGCTATATATATCTAAATTGGATGGTGTAGATTTAGGATACGGAATCAAGCACAATGGCTGTGTGCGCGTCGATGATGATAGCTGGTCTTTTGAATGTAAGCCCTATTGGAGAGCAAATGCCACGGACTCACGTTTCTTTTTATGATAGCCTGCCAAATCGACTTTTTTGTTCTGTCGTATGTAGATTACTTGTGGTTAGAGTTGGATGACGAGGTTTCCATCAAATTCGCAGATTGTGAATTGAAGAATTACATTACACCTCAGCATTTGGCGCTTGTCAAGGCTACATCCAATGAAGAGGTCATACCCTCATTGATGAGCGCTACATACAAACAGTAACAAACAACAGCACCATGTGCATCTTGTACATATAAACCTCTTTTCTTACTGCTCGAGTAACAAGTGTCTGTGCGACTCATTTTTGGCACGATGCTTAGATGATTGGATATAAGCAATGCGAACCGATTTCATGGATTCCATATTACGTCTTTCTTTTTTCGTCCGTACGAATTCTACATGACGAAAAGATCAATTAGCCATGAGAGCCATGGGAAGCAGCACGTTTGCGAATGCTTCATTTAGGAGCCGTCAATTAAACCAGAAACTTAGCCGTGATGTATATGTATTATCTGTTCAGGACTTGGGTGAATCTTCATTTAAAGCATACATATCTATTAATTAGATCTAGTTCACATGTTTAGAAGCCTATATAACATCAACTGCAGTTCATTAGTAGAGTGCAATTGATTGCAAACGCATGAGAGGGATGAATTGAGACTGGAATTTCAGCTTCTCCGCATATCATGAATCCAGTGCTTGAAAAAATTTAATATAAAAAGCCCTCTTTTCTCCCTGTATCACACTATAAATTGTCAAATACCCTGTTTACTTCTTTTCCTTTTCTCACTACTCCCTCCACTTGCCCCCCCAAAAAAAATGACTGTACTAGACACAACCATCAAAGCACCCTTTGGTGTCGTCGATATGGGCTCCAATGGCATTCGGTTCGGCATAGTGACAGCACTTGCAAGACATTTACCAGTTGCGTACGAAGAGAGAGCTCCCATTTCACTGCTGGAGGCACAGGGAGATGAGCATTACATTCCTACCGAGACAATAGACCAAGTGATTACTAGTTTCTTGCGTTTCAAGACGATTTGCCGACATGAAGATGTGGATCCAACCAATGTCAAAGTCATTGCCACAGAAGCCACTCGCATTGCAACCAACTCGACCGAGTTTCTAAACAGGATCAAAGAAGCTACTGGATGGTCGGTCAATATTTTATCCAAGGAGCAAGAAGCCATGATTTCATCCATGGGCATTGTTGGTAAGCATCAATTTCCAATGTATGTGTAACAAGAAGATTGAATCCATCTCTTGTTTTCTTCATCAGGCTCATTCTACAGAGTGGATGGACTCACGATGGATTTGGGTGGTGGTTCAGTAGAATTGAGCTACGTGACATCAAGAGGCTCTTCTCCTTTATCAGAAGATTCGGAAAGGCCTAAAAAGCGACTCAAGACGTCTGCAAGCCCTGTGTCACTGCCTTATGGAGCTGCAATCATGAGAAAGCGCTTATCTGCTTGTGTGGATCAACAGGAGAAAGACGACCTCTACAGTGAGATTGTGGATCAGGTAGCCAAGGCAAAAATAACGACCAACATCCCATATCACCTCAGAGACCATGATGGATACACACTGTACATGAGTGGTGGTGGATTCAGAGCATTGGGCTATCTCTCGATGGCCATCACCAAATCCAAAGATGGTAAGCTGAAAAAGGGTTCCTATCCTATCCCCATCATCAGTGGCTACAGTATCACAGGCGAGCAATTGGCGGACCTGGTGGATAAATACAAAGATCGTGATCCCGAAGAACTGGTGAGTGAGCTCAAAGTGTTCCGCATCTCCAAACGAAGAACCCGCATGCTTCCAGCAACATGCTTTTTAGTATCTGCTATCATGAAAGTCATTCGTATCAAAGAAATCTACTTTAGCGAAGGTGGCGCTCGTCAAGGCATCTGCTACCATATGCTGCCTTACACCGAGCAGATCAAGGACCCTCTTTTGGAAGGCGTTAAATCCTATGTGTCACCATTACCTCATGCGTTGTCTCCAGATGAATTTGACACTGTGCTGCGTGCATTAAACAATGCCATCCCACCACTGTATCTGGCTCCTGATCACCCACTTCAACTTCATCGCCTGGTACCGGCTGCTGTTCACCTTGCCAACCTGACTACACATTATCCTAAAGAAACACGTGCATTTGTGGCTTTCCATATGCCTTTGGCCAGTGGTCCATTGGCAAATATACCCGGTCTGCTTCATTCTGAGAGAGCCATCTTGGCGTTGATTCTCGCATACCGTCAGGGAGGCGATGTGCCTGACCCCGTGTTTAACGCAATCGAGGCCATGATCGGCAAGTATGGTGTATCTGTGTGTAAATACGTGGGCAGACTAATGGAGATTATGTTTCTCATTTCTCCTCGCCATCCTGGATGGGGTTTGGAAGAAAGCGGCCTCCAGTTTCGTTTGGTGCGTGTGGAATCTGATGATGAAGAGGCAGGAAACTCGAGTCCCATGTCGTCGCCCATCACGCCTCAAACACGCCAATACTACTCGACTTCAAAGCTGGAGATTGTGATGCCAAAGAAAAGGAGCCCCATGTTGGAAGCACCTGCCGTCATTTCAGTCATTGAAAGCATGGATAAAAAGGTGCAGCCAAAAAAGTTTGATATGGATGAAGAAACACAAGATGTTCGCAACAAGTTGTTTACAGTGACAATAGTCCATTGATTACACAATAAACAGTGAATAGAGGCATTAGAAAAGTAGTTTATTAAAAAGGTATTTACATTTTTAGGAGGGGATAGATGTACAGTTCTATATCTCATCTTGTATGACTACACTCGTGGGTGACGCCTGATGAGGAGGGGAGTATATGGAAGATATGTTGGAATCGTTTTTGGGCAGTGGCTTGATTTGATGTTTTGGTAAAGGGGGTGGGGGAGGTTTATGTGTATGAGTTTCTGTAGTAGATTGTTGGCTTTGCTTCTGCAAAGCGTCATTGATGGAAGCCATGAGCGGTTCAGAGCTAGGAACAATGTCGTCGTCGATTTTGTAGTGTGTCACTCGATGGCTGATGTAATCGTCCTCGCCTGTACTGATGTGTGTTTGAGCTCGGTAGGTATTAATCACAGGTGGTGGTATAATAACTGGTATCGTATTCGATGATGAAGATCCTGCTCTAGAGCGATTGTGATAGTCTCTAATAGCCGGAGGAGGAGGAGGAGGAGGAGGAGGGAGTGTACTGTCATCGACAGCTACTGTTGGTAGAATGGACGCAGATGCCAGAATAGGGTTGCTCTGGCGCTTAATTTCGTCAGGCTTGAGTACAGCTACATTCATGTTGGACGTATTGTTGCTACTACTGGGATTGTTGGTGCCGCTGTAATAGTTGGCAAGCATTTCGAGCGTCGGAGAGTTCATAGTGAGTCGGTTGGAATTTCGCAGCTGATTTGAAGAATCGCCGCCATTCATGTAGAAACTAGCACTTTGAGATCTGGATCTAGAGGACATGGTCATCAAATCAGCAGAACTACTGCCCAAATAAGAGGCAATGGGCGGTCTGTTGCTTCTCTTTCGCTTTCTCCACATGACCATGCGCGCTGGAGGTCTGCCTGATTCATCCAATTCATCGTCTCCAAGACCTGTTGCAATGATGATAATATCCTTGATCAAAAACAGCATGAATAGAAAGAAGGCTAAACAGTGAATGGCCATCTGGACATAGCCTACGTATTGCTTTGACATGGTAGTTGCCTGGACGCTTGGAAGATAGCCTATATTCAGCAGCAATACAGCCGTCTTGATGCATCCAAAGACGACATGAAACATGTTGACTTGACTATCTGCGTACGGCTGCTTGAAATACAACCCCAATGTCAATGCGATTTCTGCGATAATGACAAGTATCAATTGAGCCAGTCCGCTAGTTTGAAATAACCCAATCATGGCTGCCGTCAAGGATTTGTAGACAATGATAGCGAGGTAAAAGTGAAATGTATCGTCCGTGAATTGATTGTACAGCGATCCAAATCGTAGCAGCAGTTTCAACTCGGTGTAAATGAACGATGCAGGTCGAATTTGCAGTAATTTGATGCTGATGAGTCCATACAACAAGAAGGGCGCCACCAGAAATATGGCAGCAGAGAGTGTAATGTACCAGTAAGACGGGATCATCAATTGATAGAAGGATATGGTCAGAATCGGCAGGTAGAGCAAGCTGACAATACGGACAAGAATGCCTGCATGAATACAAGTGTTACGCTACAAACATCAAGGTCAGTATGTCTCCATGGTTACAACATACCTACTGAGAAATCCCACATCTTTTGTGACATGACGATCAGCCTCTCTCGCTTTTGAAGCTTACCAGCGGTGTATAGCACGGCCCATGTGATGAAGCATAGCAGTGCGCAGGATGCAATGATAGTAAGTGTGTAGACGAGAAACGTAAAGAAAAGCGCATTGATGTCAATGCCAGATGCAGTTGCAAAATCTAGCATGCCTGTACCAGACACATCCACACCGTTGTTGGTCTCATGTGCTGTTGTATTTGTAGCTGCATCAGCCAACTGTCTTTTATAGATGCTGTATCTTGGAATAGTTGCCATGTCTTGAATAGGCGATGATGAAGACTGAAATATGCTGTGGATGATATTGTCTAGCCATCTCGACTCAAATAGTAGAAAGCTCCAGGAGAAATTGGACGTGAATAAAGCATGAAAACGAGGATAATCAATGTTGAATTGACCTGCAATGACAATGAATTGGGCGTAAAATACCAGATCGAAAAAACCAGGTGTCTTTAATCGCAACACGCCAGGCAACATGGCATAATTGGAGCTCAATAGAAACACATCATGCTCTCCTCCTTGGTGAAAGATGGTGAATGAAGCTATCAATGACAGAACAGCAGCAGCAAATGTCAACCCAACAGGTAAGAATGTAAAGATCTTTTGCCATGTGGGATGTTGGTAGCCAACAGGAGCAAGTCTGATGCAAACAAGATGTTTGGAGTCTGCGTCGATAGCTGAGTATTGTGCTGTGATGTCGGCCAATGGGTATAGAGGAATATCAGAAAGGTTAAACGACTATAAATAGAATTTGGAGTCAAATCAAGTTGCAATCATAGCTAATAAGTTGGGGTCCATTGTGTTTTGGTGTGTACATGATAATTACCCTTTGAATGCTAAAGTTTTTGTTGGGCTGGATAGGACAGCCTGTGGATGTATCAGGGCAGAATTGTTGGGCTGGTGCTTGAAGTGTTTGAAATCCAAACCTTAATTCAAACATAGAAGCAGATGATGCTAAATTTATCATAAATGGGCAATAAATATAGATTAATATTTCATTCGGAAGGGAGGAAGGGAGGGGGGGGGGGGAGATGGCTCCATCGTTTTAGTTCCCTGTAACAATTAGCTACGTACTTGATCCCTGCTGATTTAAATTATTCACAATGACATTGGATGTGCTAGTGAAATTGAGATGGTAACTGGATGTCTTGACATTGAAATATCGAGTAACGGCCGACACATTGAATTCACCTTGCTGATAACAGTTGGTAAAGTTGGCGGGTGGAAACCATACATGGTCTAATGTCTGTGCATGTCGATGAGGAATTGCGGTACAGAGGATCAAGCCGAACACAAGGAGATTCAGATGATCTGATATGAATCTCATATCTACCATGTGTGTATGCAGAACAAGACAATCAGGAGTGTAATAGTTTAGTAAAGAAAGTGGACAAAAGAGAAAGAAAGAGTCCTAGCTCTAATAATAAACCTTCTTTCATCATCTGTGCACTTTCAAAGCCACATAATCGCATTACCCTTTATATGAATCATGGATACAATGTTGTCTACTCTGTCATACCATTTAAATGTTATACAATTTGCGGTTGTTGAAAGCTTTCCATTCCTTGATTGCTACTGCCAGATAGACATCAATGAGAAATGCTGTACTTATTGTCTAAATGCTTTTATCGATCTACATTCTTATCAGATGAAGCATAAAGTAGTTGAAATTAAATCAGTGCATAGAGTAACAAAGGCTTGAGCAGTGTTTCCCTGTGGCTGAATATTCGTACATCATGCGCATGCACCGAACAAATAATAATAAACATTTAATAGAGGCGCACACACATGGCACATGGACCAAGTGTGCCAATATCAATGGCTTCTAGATTTGAAATGAATGCGCAGCAAAAACCATCAGATATTTTACGTTTGAAAATGTGCTCAAGTCTATTAACTTGGTAAAAAATATAAAAGAGGTCCACCCGATTCATGTATCAAGCAACAAAAGAGCCAAGGTGTAACTGAAACAACCATATAAAATTTGCTATTGAGTTCAATCCAAAAGCTGCAACTGCAGTTTCTTCTTTGTAAAATCAGGGACAAAAGGAACCAAAATGGTATGTAGCTCCCAGACAGCAAACCACTTGAAGATGAGGGCAGTTCATTTTGGGAACAAGAGATTTTGGCTATTCTTTGAATTAAAGTTTCTTCCAGGTAATAGTAACAGATTCTGATACATGGGCTTTAGTCAAGTTCTCCATTGCTTGCTCACGTTGATAGATTTTACAGCTCTTCCATTCGCTCTTCTGCCAGAAAACAGACGAAGCCGCTTTAGCTATGCTACTATTCTCTAATGGTCAATATCAACTGATGAGTTGAATGCTTGCTCGACGCTCATTTTGGGAAACTTACTATAAGCGCAATTACAGATACAAGATGCTGGCTAAACGCAGATATAGCCAGACTCTTGGGAGCACTACGTGTTTCACTATTGATGAACGATCACATCTCCAATTTGTCTTGTTGCAGTAGTAATGAGGGGCAGAACGTTAAAGTAACAGGAGTAGTAGTAGCAATCCGAATATATCAGAAACTCTTCATGTGGAGACAGCTTTTGCTAATAGTCCATCATAATTTTTCAGTTCAACATTTTGTAACACAGTATCTGCCAATCTATTACTCGCAATCACTGGTAATTAAGAGATTTTTATGTATGTACCGGTAGCTCATTACTCAAAATTCGCTTATGTTAAAAATTCTCTAACCTGCAATTCAATTACTCCATCCTTCTTCTCGCAAAATTTTGCTGTAGAAACATACTACTTTCAAAACTCTGGCATCAATATTCGAAAATCTTATTTTAAATGGCTCAAACCTTGAAACGTTAAACACTTTTGTACATCCATAATCTTTGATATGATGAGATAAGAAACAGCAACAGATTAAATTGGAACATGTTGGAAATTACTGATAAACAACAATGCAAGTTTGGCAGGGCATCTGGTACCAGGTTTTCCAGGTATACCTAGTATTATACTACTGTTGTATCTATGTAAAATAACTTTCCTCACATAATAAATACAATAAACACCCCTCGTATGAAGCTATGTAATCAATGCCAGATCCAGTGATTACAGCTTATTATACTATCTATTAGAATAAAGAAAAAACTTATATTGTAACTGTTTGGATATTCTTTTATTACAAACACAAAATTATAATACATGGCAGGTCAATAGGAAATCAACTAGTTGTAACCCTTCGTTGTTCCAACCTCTTAGCCAATCAGATTGCTTGAAAACTCCGCTGACCTAAAAAAAATTTTGCGAGGGTTTCCCCCTGTTTTGATGTGAGGCAAAATTTTAAGCGCCGCTATAATAGCAATATAGCCACTGCTATCATCAAACTTCCCCCAGGTGCTAGAGCATGCCTTACTTACACCACCTAGCTTTAAATTCAGGCATTGAGACCCTCAATCATCACTAAAGTAAGTAGCGATAACCAAGTGGAGGCGGCCTATCTACCTCCTAGCCTCGGATAAAGTCTTGTTGAGCTTCAGGGATAGGCACATCCACACAACGTAAAAAAGATATGCTTCAAAAGAAACATAATAATAATAAAAGAAAAAAAGAAAAGAATATAATACTATACGAGTATAGTAGTATGTAGGCAAAAAAAGAGACACTCACACAAAGTGGGTCAAAGAAAAGCATAACAAACACAACATCAAAGATGTTCAAAAAAAAAAGCTCGTTGCTGTTGCAAGAAAAATGCATACATGAGCAACGCGCATGGTAGTAATAGTCGGATGTAAAGCAACATGATGACACAAATACGCACAACTGCAAAAGCAACAGTGGTATTATAAGTTTGCGATACAACATAATGACTAGTATTGTTTCATGTAAAGCTACAGAGGAAACACTACCAACAAAAGAAAAACAAAAAGAAAAAAGCGCAACAAGGCAAGCATCATGAATGCATTCTCACGAGAAAGGAAGCAATAATATAAGCGTTCAAAGAAGTTTTATATCATTGCGACCAGAAGAAAGAAGATACTTACCACTTATCACAGCCACAGATAGACCAGAAGAGTATAAGCAATCACCGGAGACAGACCAGAGAACGAGCATGCACCAAATATAGTAGACCAGAAAAGACCAGATTAGCAGCAGCAACACCAGTACCATAGACAAACTAAAGAACGAACGCCATTAGCAGAGAGCAAACAAAGACCAAAGAAGTTACTTACCACTTATCACCAGAGATAGACCAGAGAACGAGCATGCAGCAAATACAGTAGACCAGGAAAGACCAGATTAGCAGCAGCAGCAATACCAGCACCATAGAAAAACCAAAGAATGAACAACACCAGAGACCGGACAAAGGCTAAAGAAGCAACCACCAGACATGATACACCAAAGAAGCAGACAACAAAGATAGCAGAGAAGTACTGGTAGCAGCACCTACATCAAACAGACAAAAAGAATCATCAAAACCTAATAAACAAATTCAGTTAGTGTTAATTCTACGCCTTTCAGTGCTCGTTATCGAATGGTACCTAATATATTCCACTTTAAAGAAGCAGTATAAAGTACTTCTATCAGTGCACGACAGTGTTATCAGTAGATAGAGTGTTATTATCAATCAAAGAGTTTCCAAAACCACCATGGTTCGATATTAAACGCGTTTTGCAAAAAAGGGAAAAAAAAGGTGATATGGAAGAATGAGAGGGCGCCCTATCCGACGTCACGGCCAGTAGATTTGGCCTCAGTCTTCTGCCGCGGCAGCCTTAATTGCGGTAATTTAATATGAATTTGTGCAGTGAGTATTTTCGTGTTCAAACTTGTCTTGATCTAACATCTTTTAAACGTTTTTGCCAAATTTGACTATAAAAACTCTCGTTATCACATCCGTCTTTCTAATATAACTTTACAGAACTAAAGAAGATGCATCGAATGGCGCTCATTACATTCAGCTTTCAGATCAAAAATAATGAGCAATTTGCAAAAATATGAAAACATGTTTTTTGCCAAAATGTCAAAATTTCACATAGGAAAATCTCATAGAAAGAGTTTCCAGTGTTGCATTCCGTATTTACGATCAATTTGATCTTATATTTATCATAGGAAAAATCTTCATTTTTTGGGTGAAAAAAGCGATCGTTTGATTTACAAGAATTTTCCCTTGCTAATACTCGTGAAAAAAACGATGATTTTCATGAATTTTCAATGAACCAAAAAATTTCGAAATGAAGCATCAGCAAGTAAAGCGTAGGCAAGGGGAATCGTTTGGCACTATTCCAAGCGTCCAAAACGCTTTGTGGCATGAGTTATTCGAGTTGAAAAACGGTAACATTTGGACAGAATTTGACCTAAAAATGAGGTGTAGTAGGCTGTGTTGCCGAAAAAGTAGGTAAGTTGCAGTGCTTTATAGCTACTGGGATTCTCTGCATTGCACAAAATCAGATCTGTATTTTGAAATGTGAGATTACAGTGATTTAAAAGCTCGAGCATCAATGACATTATACAGATATGAATCTATTTGTGGAATACATCCACTATGATCTGCATTCCGACAGTTCATCCAGTTACCAGATTTAGATATAAACTGTATGTACACTGGATTAGATGTACGATATCGATTTATACTACAAGAAGATATGGACTTCAGATACGCTAGTACTATAAGATTCATACTATATAAGATATAGGCTATAGATGGCACCACGGACATGGATGGCATTATAGACTTATACTTGTATTCCGACATTGACTACGGATGTTTACCATATCTGGATAGGCACCAAGATTAATGCAATATGAGCATGTTGCTTCAGATGTGCACTTCATGATCCACGCTATAAGACACATGCTTATATCCGTGATACTAGCTACAGATACTTTATGTACTACAGACTTGTACTATATATGAGACATGCTATAGACATGCATACGATATGCTATAGACATGCCATATCTCCAGATACATGCTAAAGATGTATGCTTAGCGATATACACTCAGATATGTACTATTAATATAGACTAAGAAGACTGTACCTATCGGATACATGCTACTAGATCGATATTAATTATCCTTATGGAAAGGATAGATCAGGGTACTTCGGATGAGAGTCTAATTATTCATCCAGACAGAGCTAAATCATGATTAGCTTGCTGGAGTTGTCTTTTAGCATGATTAGACATTAGTTGATCTGAGTTGACTTATTTGTTAATCTAATTAATAGAACTTTTATCCATTGTTATAGTATATAAGAAGGATCATCTACCTGGCCAGTAGAGAGACTTCAGTTTACTTTACACCTGTCAGTTTGATAATAAAATATACCTTTATCAAGTTGACATTACTGTTTTTTTATTCTTTTTTTTCCCT